ACTACGTAACGGGTCCTTTCTTTCTTTTTCGAGCTTTTTAACTATAACCCGGGGGCCGTCACTGGTGCGAGATGGATGTTGCAGCTTTGAGAGACCGCATACAGTCTACCCTCGACGCCAATGCGGATATCAGACGCCAAGCTGAGTTGGACTTGAAATATGTATGTGTGGCATAGCATCACAGGCTTGAAGGTGGTTCATGCTTATTCAGTATTGTCCAGGCCGAGACACAACCGGGCTTCATAAATGCGCTTCTGGATATTTTGCAGGGGGAACAAAATAATGCCGTCCAACTGTCGGGTAGGTAGTACCTGGACATTCTGCTGCCTGAAAGATCACCTACCGCTGTTTCCCCTTGGGATCCTAGGCGCTAAGTTCATCGACTAACAAGTAGACCTCTATTCATAGCCGGTGTTTACCTGAAGAATCGAATCACTCGCGGCTGGTCTGTTGTCGAAGAAAGCCCTTTGCGCGCACCAATCCCGGAGGAGGAAAAACCGAGTTTTCGAGAGCGACTGATTCCGGCATTGGCGTCCACCCCACCGAATGTCAGAGCACAGCTTGTTCCCCTCCTCCAGAAGATTCTTCAGCATGATTTCCCCGAGCAGTGGCCGGGCTTCATGGAAATCACCCTCCAACTGTTGGGAACCAACGATGCGAACTCGGTCTACGCTGGACTGCAGTGCTTGCTGGCGATCTGCCGCGTGTACAGGTTCAAGGCGGGAGAGAAGCGGGAAGAATTCGACAAGATCGTTGAGCACACGTTCCCTCAGCTGCTGAATATCGGATCGAAGTTGGTTGATGAGGAAAGTCTGGAAGCTGCGGAAATGCTCCGGATTGTTGTCAAGTCATACAAGCATGCTATCTACGTGGGTCAACCGGAGCGGAACACCAGTCACAACACGGTAGCTAACATCTGCGACGAATCTAGTTTGAACTTTCGCCGTCCCTTCAAACGCAGCAGGCTACGGTGGACTGGTGCACGCTCTTCTTGCGTATCATTGCCAAGCAGCCTCCGGCTAATGCTATGATGGAGTCCAAGGAAGAAAGAGAGTTGAACCACTGGTGGAAGTGCAAGAAGTGGTCGTACGCCAATTTGAACCGTCTTTTCATCAGGTACGTAACATGCATATCACAGATCTGGAAATGGGACTCTCGCCTGACCTCACTGTCTAGATACGGAAACCCCACAACAATGACGAAGTCGAGCACACCCGATTATACCCAATATGCCAAGAACTTTATTGCCAACTTCGCCCCGGAGATTCTCAAGGGATACCTGCAGGAGATTGACAAGTGGGTGTCCAAGGGTCAGTGGCTCAGCAACCCGGCGCTCGCCTACACTCTGGTTTTCTTGGAGGAATGTGTCAAGCCGAAGGCGATGTGGGACCACCTGAAGCCCCATATGGACAACTTGGTTGCTCATTTCATCTTCCCGATTCTGTGCCAGTCTGATGAAGACATCGAGCTATTCCAAGAGGATCCTTCGGAATACCTCCACCGGAAGTTGAATTACTACGAAGAGGTTTCGGCGCCTGATGTCGCCGCCACCAATTTCTTGGTTGCTTTGACAAAGAATCGCAAGAAGCAGACTTTCGCCATTCTCACATTTGTGAACGGCGTCGTTAGCAAGTATGAGTCTGCTCCGGAAGATCAGAAGTCGCCTCGGGAGAAGGAAGGTGCTCTGCGGATGATCGGTTCTTTGGCCTCTGTCATTTTGGGCAAGAAGAGCCCTATCGCTGGTGAGGTCGAATACTTCTTTGTCCGGCACGTTTTCCCAGAATTCCGCAGCCCACATGGCTTCCTCAGAGCCCGTGCATGCGATACTCTGGAGAAATTTGAACAGCTTGACTTCCAGGACCCGAACAACCTTATGATCATCTACAGAAACATCCTAGAGTCCATGACGGACCCTGAATTGCCTGTCAGGGTTGAGGCTGCGCTCGCTTTGCAGCCCCTTATTCGTCACGACATCATTCGGACTTCGATGCAGCAAAATATTCCCCAGATCATGCAGCAGCTTCTCAAGCTCGCCAACGAGGTCGATGTGGATGCTCTCGCCAACGTCATGGAGGATTTCGTCGAGGTCTTCTCTGCCGAGCTTACTCCGTTCGCTGTGGCACTCAGCGAGCAGCTTCGCGACACCTACATGCGTATTGTGGGAGAGCTTCTGGAACGTAATGCCACCAAGGGTGACGAGGACGCTTACGGCGACTTCCTGGATGACAAGAGTATCACGGCTCTTGGTGTCCTGCAGACGATTGGCACTTTGATTCTCACTCTCGAGAGCACTCCGGATGTGCTGCTTCACCTCGAGACCATCCTCATGCCTGTCATCAGCATCACTCTTGAGAACAAGCTATATGACTTGTACAACGAAGTTTTTGAGATCATTGATAGCTGCACCTTTGCTTCTAAGTCGATTTCTCCCACTATGTGGCAGGCCTTTGAGCTCATCCACAAGACCTTCAAGGCCGGAGCTGAGCTTTATCTTGAGGACATGCTCCCTGCTCTCGACAACTATATCGCCTACGGCTCTCAAATGCTGGTCCAGAACCCCGCTTACCTGGCGGCCGTCGTGGGTATGGTTCAGGACATCTTCCACGATGAGAAAGTGGGCGGTGTTGACCGGATTTGCGGCTGCAAGCTCGCCGAGACTTTGATGCTCAACCTGCGTGGCTTTATTGACCAGTACATCCCTGTCTTTATCGAGCTCGCGATGCGTGTTATTGACGCCGGCGAGGCGCGCACCAAGTCGTACCGCATCCACTTGATGGAGATGGTCATTAACGCCATCTACTACAACCCTGTTCTCAGCTTACAGGTGCTGGAAGCCAATGGCTGGACGAACAAGTTCTTCAGCACATGGTTCTCTAACATCGACAACTTCAGACGGGTGCATGACAAGAAGCTGTCGATTGCAGCAATCAGCTCCCTACTGACCCTGAAAGCTGGCGATGTCCCGACCAGCGTTCAACAAGGCTGGCCCAGACTTCTCCAAGGAGTGACCCGACTCTTCCAAACCCTGCCTGCTGCCATCAAGAGTAAGTCTACAACAAAAGGATGGCGCGAGATCAAGTACGCTAATACCCATTTAGACCGTGAAGATGCCACCAAGGAGTCCGATTTCACATATGATGACGAAGATGATGTCGATGACGAGGAGAACGACTGGGATGGAGAGGTTGAGTGGACTGAGCGGGATGAAGCCGAGGGCGTTCTGGAAGATGACGTTGCCGACGAGACCACTGCTTACCTCGATTTCTTGAACAAGGAGGTGAGTCCAAGAGACTTGAGTGTTTTGTCGTCTCAATATCTCGATGAGGATACTAATCACATCGATAGGCTCAAAAGTTCGGCTCATTCGCCGATGATGACGATGATGAGCTGGATGAAGGAAGCTTGCTGGAGACTCCTCTCGATAAGGTTGAGCCTTACGGCATGTTCAAGCATGTGTTCTTGAGTATGTAGCCCCTTGCTGTCACGCTGTACTATTGACTAACTTCAACCCAGGCCTTCAACAAGAACAGCCGCAACTCTACGACAACCTGACAAAGATCCTGAGCCCAGAGGAGCAGCAGGTGCTCCAAGCCGTTTTCCACGAAGCCGATGCGAAGGCGTTGGCTGCAGCAAATGCCGAAGCAGCAGGCGCCCAGGCTAATGGAAACTGATTCATACTGCAATCCACTCCGGGGACTGACGAAATGAACCAGTCGGTCCTTCTGGATGCCCAAGGCGATGACCTGACTCAGAAAAAAAAAACTCATGCAAAAGAAAAGTGCCATCCCAGGTTGGAGGACTGTTTTGACAAGCCATCTATGTTTCTTCCGGGCCACTTCGACACCCCATACAGTCGGACGGCCTCAGCTGGATACGTCACCACGCCATATATGCCTCTTCTGATTGTGTTTTGATTCTCCTTTCCTTTGTTGCCTAGATCATATCCCTTTCCCTCCCCTGCGTGTTCAAGGTTACAATGACCTGTATTTGATTTCCTCTGGTTCTCCTAAAAGTCACCTTTTTCATCGGTCTTGACATCAGTTATGACTCAAGGCTCCGATGTCCGATTCCCCCAGATTAATCCTTGTCAATTGACTTATGATTACGTCGGTCACGACCTCAAATGCATTCTTATATCCAGTCTCCATCTTTGGAGGACAACAACAGTCAAACAGAGCCCAAAAGATAATAGAATCCAGCGAAGATGCTGATTTTGGCATCGCATAATCTCCATATTTGTTCTGGCACAGAAAGTGCTTGGCCCATGGCGAGTATCGAAACCTGTCTTCAGACCATGCCTATCCATATGGAGTGATATTTGGCATTAACTACATTTGATCTACTAGTTTGTACAGCGCCTGATCACGTGCCTAGAACAAACATAGCAAACCCCACCCACTCGGTTATGACATCACTACTAGATTTACAGCAGCAGCAACAAGAGACATACTGAGGCACTGCTCGTAAAAGTACAGCAAAGCCAGCTCGCCGGTGAAAGCCAGCTATCAACAAAATGGAGCTAGGAGTACAGTACTCCTGTCCACTAACCACTGTAGCCAATTTGAAACCTCCTCACCAAGCCCACTAGATCACATTACTGGGAGGGTGGAAACCCAACATCACTCCCCCCCCCCTCCCCCCACCGCAAACATCAGAGAGGGAAGAGCCCGCCAAAAACGTCATGATGATGCCGGCTGAGAAAAACCGGCCACTCACTCACCTTTCCCCCGGCCCTCGACGATATCATAGTCAGTAATTCCTTAGCTTAGCTAGCATAAGCATACAGTACTTAAGAACTTTCCGCCACCCAATTCACGACCCCGACCTGACCTGCAACAAACTACATACCCTGACTCTCTGAAAGACTGAAATCCAATCCAATCCAATCAAATCCACCACCAATGTTCGTCTTATCCTCATCTCACAGAATCAATGAAGAAACCTTCTCAACTAACAATCCCCCGCACTGCTCAGAACCCAAACCCTCTCTCCTACGTCCAAAAAAAATCCAACCATCAAAAATGTCCGCCCCCAACTCCGGCCGCCAATCCCCCCCTCCTGAGACCCAGACCGGCGCGCAGCAGCAATCGCCCCCGTCCCAGGGCCAGACCGGCCAGACCTACGAGACCCGCCCCGGCCAGGCCGCCCAGGAGCAGTCCGAGAACACTAAGTCGTCGCTGGAGAGCAACCCCAAACATCCCTTGGAGGATATCGAGGCTGCCAAGTACACCAAGAGCAGCTGAATTGGTTGAGATCTACGTTCCGTGACGAAACAACTTCTTTTTTAATTTAATGATTTGAAGCGAGAAATGAAATGAAGACTTCCATCATCTGAGATTAACTTTTCATGGGTTGTAGTTCTTGATCGTAGTAACTGTCCATATGGTGTAGTTGAGTTTGTTTTTTGTCTCGGTGGTCGGGTGGAGCGAGATATGGAGATATATTAAATTAATGTAACATGCGGGCTGTTGTACTTGGTTTGAGTATTCGCATACGAAATAAGGCTAGTGTTCTACGTACTGGTCGGAACGGAAAGTAGGAATGTCGAAATTAAACCACCATAACTCAATTAGATGTAGACAATACACACAATCGCTTGTTCCAGACATCTAACTAGCTAAGACGCGCGCTGAGATTATTTTATGAACATCGAGAACGTGCAAATTCAAGCATGTGAATGAACAGGTCGTCATTAGGCGTACAGAACAGATAAAAGGGGTTGGATCTCGTAAGATCTCGCACTTGCAAGTGCAAGGGATTTTTCAGATTCATGCCTTCTGGTCGGCAGAGGGGGCAGTGCCAGAGGACTGAGCCGCAGCAGTAGCAGGGGCGGCACCCACACCCTCGGCGCCAGCGCCAGCGGTAGGGGCGGCACTGACGTTGTGCTCGTCACCCTCGCCCTTGCCGCTCCTCAAGTCCGCCAGTCTGCGAGCCTCGTTGTGGATGTCGCGCACCTGCTTGTCGGTCTGGGAATAGAACTCGCGGAGCTTTCGGCCGGAGGGGGTCTCGAGGGCCTTCTCGAAGTAGCTGTGGAGACCGCGCCAGCCAGAGCTCGCCTTCTCGGTGATCTTGTAGTTCTCATCCAGACCCTTGGCCTTGTCGGTCGCGTTGTACTTCTTGTCGAAGTTGGCCAGGGCGTTGGTGAAGCGGGAGGTGAAGCCGTGCTTCTGGTCCAGGGCGATGGCCTTTTGGATGGCGTTGTCACTCAGCACGTATCCCTGGGCCAGATACTCGGCGACGATGCGGGAGCGGGGCTTGTCCTCCTGCTCGAGGTCATGGTCGTGCTCGTCCTTGGCCTCGGAGGCGCTGGCAGCGTGGTCACCGGCGATATCATCGAGAGAGTGAGCGGCCTTGACGTGAACGACCGAGGTGCCCAATTGGGTGTGGTCAAGGAGCAGAGCGGTCTTTGCGGCACTGTATGACGGATTAGTTATGTCATGAGAGGGGGTGGGGGGGGGAGCATCTAAGCTAAGGGATGGTGCAATTTAAGCCATGGGCGGGATGGGGGAGCAGGTGCGGGGCAAGGCTTACGCTTCCTTCTCGAAGGTCACAGTGGCCGACTTCTGAGCACCGTCTTCACCAGACACAGGGGTAACGGAAATAGAAGTGATCTTTCCACTGCAATGTTGTCAGCTGCATGTCTTATGCAAGGGCCTGGAATGCCTGCGTCACTGACCAGAAGCTAAAGAAGTCTTGGACCTCCTTATCCGTAGTAGCGGGGGCGATGCCCTCGACGTGAACAGTAGAGCGCTCAGACATGATGGATGTGATTGAAGTAGAGGTACGTAGAATTAAGAAGGTATCGGATCGGGTATAATTCGGTTGAGTGATAAATCAGAGTCAGTGTAATGTTGATGGGAACTGGAAAGGAGAGAGGAGGACCTGGTGGTTATTTATTTGGGGGGAAGAGCGGGCGGCACTACGCCACAAATGACGTCGCGCGAGGGGCAGCAGCAGGCAGCGACCCCGCACAGCCACGCTGGACCCGCATGTGAAACCATCTTTCTCTCCTATTTCTCCTATATATAGCTAGCTACTATTATACGTACACACATTCATAATTACTGATTTCAGGACTGTGATAGTACTGTTAGACGAAGAAGAGGGTTGATAGTTTCAAGTACCTAGCTGATTATCCTTGGTTTCCCGTCAAGAAGGTTATCTTTCCACCAGAAGAATCTTTGAATCGATAGGTACACTATGCGATTCGGAACGTGGGAGAAAAACTATTCCGTGCCCAATTCGTCCTAGCTTGGCAATGAGCGTAAGTACTGTACATCTGACCGCTCAGAGGTAAACAGACAACTTCACTATACGACACTTGGGTTACACTATTCCTTATAACCTCATGGAGGTCAAGTCTGGTCTTAGCGAGAGCAGGCGCGTGGCTCAGGCAAGCGAGCCTTGCAAAAAGGGCAAGCGAAAGGTTTTCCCATCCATCTTAAGGCTTCAGAGGCCGGCAGAATCAATTCTGATGCGGAGGCTTGTGGGCGAGGAGATCGTGCGATGGAGCGCAACCGGCATGTGGTCTTTGTTTGAGACTCAACAAAGAGTGCTAGTACTCTGAACGACCGTTACGAAGGAAGTAAGGACACGATAAATACGAGTGTGTGTCATTCCAGGTTAAATGGACTCTGGAAGCTAACGACGGACTTTGGCTGGGCCAGACGTGTCTTTGTCGACAAGGAATATGTGGTTGTACGTGAGAATGCCGAATTGAAAAGAAATATCGATGCCTTGACAGCAGCAGCTTCTGCGAGACACGATGGTAGATCAACTGCTGCATTCCTCGATAGTCCTAATCAAGGAGGCTTGGACGAGGTGGTGGCCACAGACACCGCATCGGTGAATGGGGTCAAACAGCAGAAGATGCCCGAGCATCTTCTGCTGCCAAAGCCTACGAGAGGCCGCCAAGGCTTTCGCTCAGTTGGTTCGTTTACACCGTCGGCGGATCGGAGTTTTCAGACAAGCCCCGCCATTCCTCATACAACGTTTGCTCACCGCAGGGGTAATTTTTCTCTCACAGGCCACGGCGGCTGTGAAGCAGGGGGCGGGACGCAGACCTTGCAATGACCTCAGCGAATGTTTAGCAGCGTTGGAAGAGATGCAGAAAATCTGGCCGCTCAAGGCACATCGGGCGATTGATGCCCCCCGGCAGATTGCGTATCGGTGGTCAGTGGTTTGGGCCGTGCCTATGGATCTGAGCCATGCCTTATAGGTGGGTCGTCAACTGTCCCCTATCCGAAGCATTGAGGGGCTTATTCTATGATTGCAGGACTTCCCTGGAAGGAAGCTGCTATTTGTTCATGGAGATGCTCTCTTATGATGCTCTATTCTAATTGCATTAGAGCCTATAGAACTAATTTCTACATTCAGACGATAGAAACACCCCCGCATTTCCTTTCCATCATTATACATTGCATAGGGCTTAAACCATCAAACGACAGACTCATTGAGCAAGGTGGAAATGAGATCCTGCTTCCAGGGCACCAACGTACCCTCCACCTGTGGAATATACTCGGGAAACCCCTCATTGATGGCCTGCAGAGTGCCCCACGAGACCTCCCCATCAGCGTTATAAGTTGTATTCGTAAAGGCAGTGGCGTTCAACGAGCGGTAGACAAGCGGATGGTCGGCGAAGGAAACGTTGGCCACAGCCTGGGACCAGACTGCCGAAGACCCTGCAGGGAAGATGGTGGCTGTACCAATGGCCGCCTGCACCACAATCGCCTCCCCCAGGATTGCATAAACCCGGCCCAGGGACGTGATAACCTCAGCCGACTCGTAGGTCAGGCTGGAATTGCCGAAATCCGGGACGAGACTTTCCCCGTCCACAAAAGTCAACAAATGGATCCAAGGAAGGTGGACGGGACAAATTGGGATATGAGAGAGAACTTACGGCCACGAGCCAAGATGGATGTCTTCAGTCTGCGACTGCATGATAAAGGTGACCTCGGGGGTAGTATGCTCGCCGCACGAGAGCATGCCGATGCGGCCGATGGGGGTGCTGACCGCGTAGATCTGGTCGAGTTTGCCGTCCGTCCAGAGGTCGCGCTCCTGGGCCGAGGGCCGCAGCTTATGTCGGTGGATGAGGATCTCGCCGTCGGGGGCGATTAGGGACTGCGCCATGTACAGATGGGCGGCATCTTTCTCGGAGAATGAGAGTCCCTATCATTTTTGGGAAAGGTCAGAGTCTGCGGACATCGCAACCAAGTCTGGGACTAGAGGGGACAAAGTGAAAAGAAGACTCGGAGCTTACAACGTAGATGCGATTATCAACCGCCGCCTGCACCAATTTGTTCCAGTTGTCGCTGCCGACCACCAAGGAGTTCTCGATATAATCTTTGACGTGGTATTCGAACCAGGGGTTCGGGACATCGGAGTTGATAATACCCTGGCGAAGCGTCAGCCCTATCAAGATGAGATGACAGTTTTAGATTGATTTCTATCTCAACTAACCTTAGGATAACCGGGGAACCAAACCTCCGGGAAGTGAATGACACGGGAATTCGCCGCAGCAGCCTGTTGAATCAGACGGATCCCCAGCTCGACGGTGCCGTTCAGGTCAAGTTTGACCCCATCCCAATCCTTGTTCATCATGGGAAGGGGCCAGTTGACCGGTGGGACGCGCACCGCCGCCACAGTCAGGTTCTCGAGATCCCAGCCCGCAACGATCTCCGCCACAGTCTGGTTACTGGGCGTGATCGTGGTCAAAAGACTGGCCTGTTCACTCAGGCTTCTTCGTTGGCGGACTCTGCCATTTGGCAGCGCGGTAGAACCGGCGGCCAATGCCGTCAAGGCGACTAGACCCAGCTGGAATTTCATTGAGAGAATTACAAGTGTGACAGAAAATCCTGCAAAGGTAGTGATAATGGTCTCAGCTGGGGACCGCAGGGGCTTTGTTTTGAATATTTTATACCTCGCAACTTGTGGACAATTGCCCCAGACCTAAGGACCAGCTTGCCCTCACACATCTCGCTCAGCCAAGAACACTATCTCGAGTATCTACGCATCTAGTAGAAAGTTACGTAAACCATGTTAACACAGATATAGGCCTTCTCCTTTTGAGCATACTCTGTTCTTGGAATTCCACAATAAGCCTGCTTAGATATGTCGAGATAAGGCTGGAAAATACTCTATCAGGTGCGGAACCATTTGATCCGCAATCACCTCAAACAAGAAATCGGAGGTCTTGATAACAGCACATCTTGCACGCTACTTGGTACTCCAGTATTACCTGAAGACTTCTGTATCAAGGCCTCCCATCAGCCGGGTGGCTTGTGGGGCAGTCTCCTGGTATACTTTGGTAAGTAAAAACAGCTAATCAGCCTTTGCTAAAAGTTATTGATAGAGACCTATACAAGATCCCGGGTTCAGATCCCGGGTTCAGATCCCGGGTCAGACACCGCTGCGACAAAGAAGAGATTAAAACATGCAAAGTAGTATCAGCCTTAGAACTACGAAGGGAGAATAGAAGGTTAGCAGAATAGGTTATATGGGTTGGTCCTTTTCTTCCATGAAAGGAGCATCCAGAGTATAGATCTAATAGGGATCAACGGCTAGCCTCCGCTGGTGCTGAGGAACTTCACCTCGTGGTAGCTGCCTTTGACTCTTGGGAAGGTAAATGGCAGGACAGATTGAAGGCGACGTCCTTGGTAGGTTTTACACATGATCGTGTTAAAGTTTACGGCTCCATGCTTGTTCAGCGAGGAGTGGTGGTATTCGATCATGTTGAGCTATTTGATTTACGGGCTGTGATCAAGTCTAGCTAAGGGCATCTCCTGAATCCGAAGAGTATGGGACTGTAGGTACCCTATCACTGAGTATTCCTGGTACAGTACGTTAGGAATTCGCAGTGGACACTCAATGCCTCGTAGCCGGATGACAGACATCCTTTTAATAGCAATTAGCCCATAGGAACAGAGTAGTGGGTCCCTGGCTAATTGAATTCAAACTCAACGAATGTGGATCCATCGTGGATAGATTGGGTAGGTTTTGGGATACTATGAGTACCTGCAGTACAATGTTTGCCCGACTCAACTCCTTCGAGACTTTACCTACGGCAAACGAGAAGAAACGAGGGAGAGGTTCTAGAACTTCAAGCCCTAAAATCTCGTACGCCTGAGATGAATGATCCATTTGATTGGTGATTGAGCACCTGGCCAGCTGAATGAAGAACACTGTTCTTGGAAACTCCGACATTGGCGAACCGAGTCATACCACCACAAGCGAGATTGCTTCAATTCTCAGAATCTAGTATCTCCCTCCCCTGTTTTCCGCCGGACCGCGCTGGATCTGGAGTGGAGTGGTCTGTAGCACGCTCCTGTTCTCGAGAATTTCGAACAATCAGCTCTAGATCCCGCACACGGCGACGCAGAGTCTCATTCTCCCGCTTCAGCGTATCTACCTCTTCCCGCTGGGCTAGGAGCTCCTCGTGGCGGGAGGGAGGGGTAACCGGGCTCTTCTGCTGAGTGATCGAATTCCGGTGAGGGAAACCTCCTATGGAGGGTGAAAGCTGATCGGTCGACGGCAAGTGATGCTGCGACAGTGCTGCGTCCGATTGTCGAGAAGTGAGCGACGGCTCTCGACTCCTCCCCGAGCGCGCCGAGTCCGTGCGGGTCGACGGTAGCTGTGTCTCCCTCGACGGTGCGATTCCGAACCCGCTGCCGGTCCGCGACCCTTGAACCGCGGGGATGTAGGAAGAACTGAGGCTGGAAGAGGAGCGATGTCGGCGCGAAGTCGTCGGAACCGTAGAGCTGATGGCATACTGGGAGGCGTGTAGAGAGTCCATGGGATCGTTGAGTGTAGTCGATGTAGATGATGTTGTCGATGCGACCGAGGCTGTTTGTTGGCGAAGAAGAGAGAGTTCTCTCGATAGCCGATTAACCTATGGTGACAGGCGGGGTCAGTCTATCTAGAGGATTTGCGCAAGATGCCGAGCTTCATACCATTGCTTCTTGCTCTTGCTCCAACATCGAATGGATATCGGATGGGGTCAGCGGTTTGGGATGTCGCAGTGGGCCTGCCTTTCGCTCAATCTCGAGGTCCTTGACAATTGAATTTTCTTTGTTTGGAGATTCCGACTTACCAGACCCTGCGGCTGCCCGTGAAGGCTCTTGATCCCCAACGCCCGGCATCGGGCTTGCTGCTGAGGCGCTGAGACCAGGCGAGAGCGTAAGAGGGGCCATGACTTGTGAAGAGCGTCGGGAAGAAAGGGACGAGGGAAAGGTGGGAGCTGGTTGCACTGTCGTTGCAGCACGGGGCCGGGATCTGGGCGTAGATATAGCGACGGAGCTTGATTCTATGGTCATGATCTGAGTGACTTGAATCGATGTAGAACGAGCGATACGAAAGGGGCCTTAGTGGGGACAAGTCAAGAAGTAAAAGAAAGGCAGGAGAACAGAAAGACAAAAGGGAACCCGGATAGTTTTCTGGGAGTCTGTTGATAGGTGGAGTGCGATTAGGAGAGAGGCTTTATCCGCAGTCGAAAGAAGTAAATATGGTAAGTTGGTAGCGGCGGACAACGATTCACTTGTTTAGATTGCTTTGGCCAAAAGTGCCAGCCTGCAGGATAGCAGCCCCTTGATTGGACCTTTGAAACATTCCACACCCCGGACCACCATTGATTTGCAACCAGATTCTTTCAGCTGATGTGGACAAGACGAGTTGTTCGGATTGCATGGAACCTGTCTCATGCCGCTTAACTGGTTAAAATCATGGTTCCATTGTTGATTTATTTCTTGTTCATTGTTTGACATCTCCAAAAAATTTATACGGGTATGTTGTACAGTACGTTGGAGCGAAAGGTAAGTTACATTAAATCAAACTATAGTCGTTATTGATCAGCGGTGATTATATGGACATGGATCAATTTCTATCATCATCCAATGGTCATCGATCCTGGCCGGGTGTCCACGCAATGCACACCACAGAAGCCTATTACTCCACCGTCATCAACCTTGAACTTATTGTGTATCGAGCTGGTTGATCATTAAAGTGGTGCATATGTGTATCGCTCTTTTGCATGTCACTTGTTCTACGAAAGCTGAATGGGTCCTGGATACTTTACATCCACCAAAGGTCCCCTGGCCCCCCACATGCTGCATACCTGGTTCGACTAACAGACCCGAGGTCCACTTAAGGCACCCAGTCTGTGCTGTCACATCACCCGTCTTGCTCCCAGTATTATGACGAAGACGGGAAATGAAATCCCCCTCTCACGAACACGACTAGGTGGGACTAGTAGCCGTAAAAGTCTCAGTTAGCTGGACTGAAGCGCGTTTAGCGAGCAGAATCTATACGTAAAGTACATTAAATTGTACTTACCGCCTAGTGATGCGAGTGCCATAAGTGACCGGTCGGTAGGTTAAGACTGATATCTTAAGTAGCCTGGCTGTTTATGCTAGAGGGGTCATTACGCCTTAAGAGTCCATTCACGAGTGCAGCTCTTCCTGCATGCGCAATCTGGTCTCTGGTATGGTACTTAATTTTCTCCCCTCGTAATTGACATGCATAAGTACCAGGCGTAAGGCTCGGAGGCCAAAGGACGTAGTAGAGGCTGCGCTGAGGTGAAATAGCATAGCAAAGAGCCTCAGGTTTGAGGCCGGGGGCATGTTGTCTTAGTGCTGCAGAACTCGAGAGATGAATGCTGCTGCTTGTGATGGCGACTGGTCGGTTCTTCCCACATCGGGAAATTCGGTCGAGTATAAACCCCCCCCTCATTTTCGACTTCCTCTCCTTTCCCTCCCCCTCCCTACATAATGTATATCTACAATACCACAAGAAAAACCGTGATTTGTATCCTACAGTTTTTGTCCGTAGGTCCGGGAATGGTTACAAAGAGATTGTTCACTCAATCGTTTGCCTTGGAGGCTATGTCTCGTAATTGTTGATGAAGTTGCTGTCTGCAGCGTTGACATATGGTGTTGTGTTTCCCCTGCTGTGAACATTGCGGGGCCGCCAGAGCCACGCTTCGGTCCATGGGGAGAGGAGCCAGCCTGGGCTGTCCCTGATCGCAAATAAGCGGTGGTGCGGCGGTGCGGCACTGTATCGGGCCGAATACAAAAAGCGGGCACAACTCCAGTGCGTCCCCGATCCTCGGTCCCAGCTCTCCACAAACAATCCGCACGTTAGATCACCACTAGCATTATCCAGTGTCTTTACCTACCCATCACCCCCCCACACGCCTGGACTCAAATGGAAGACCGCTACGCACCACCCTCAAGTGAGCCTATTCCTGAATTCGCCGCACCACTTGCCCCTTACCTCAAAAGCCGCCAGGAGGCCTTTCGTATCCGCCAAGCCTTGACTGCCTATGTTCGCTCGCACATCATCTTCGCGGAGAATGACCCGGACAACCCCGAACTCAATGCCAACTCGCACCTCACCCTTTCTGTACCTCATGACGCTGTTGTCGGCGTGAAGCCCATCCCACCGGAGATTACTGGACTGCGGAGGCAATACTTGGAAGCTTTACAAGCCAACGTTGCTGCGAGAAGGGAATATCAAGCAGTTGTAGAGAAGCAAAATGCATATGAGTCGCAACAACAACAACAACAGAAAGCAACCGAAGCACCGCAATGCGATCCTTCTCAGGACCTAAGCGAATATGTCAATCTCCTCCGTGAGCGTCGCCAACTTGCAAAGCTGCAAGTGTTCCAACGCTACTCACAGGAGCTTAAGGAACGAAACAGAAGACGAGCTGAAAGTTTCGAGGATAGTCACAAAAAGCTTGGAGTGCCGCCAGAGCTGCTGGATGAAATGAATCAACCATCATCCAATGGAGGGGATAGAGTTGAGGAGTTGATGCACAGACTGGAGAAGGCAGTTATTCGAGCGAAAGCTCAGTTTGACAGGGAAAAAGAGCTACTGGAGGAATTGAAGGCACAAGTAAACCTTGACGAAAATTCCCTGTCAAGTAACATCACGCCAGCTGTCAGAACGGCCGCCCTACAACGAACACGTGATGAACTGATTCACTGGGTGGAGGAGAAATTGGTCAGTGCTGGCAGTCACGAAGACAGTGGATCCAGGCTGGATCTGGCCCCCGAAGACCTCGAGGAATCTACGCGCCTATTTGAGGAGCAGAAAGCGGAGGTTGCACAGCAATATGCCGAGTACGTTGAGGCCCGCAAGGCACTGCTAGATGCCGCCTCTAGAGCATGTCAGCCTCTTGCAGTACCTTCTGTGTCCCTTTCAAATTGTTCTACGACTATCACTCAGAAGAACGATGTGCCACCGGAGCCGCAATCGTTGAACGCAATGGATGTGCTTTCCTATACTGAAAAAAATCTTCTCCCGCTTTCTAAAAGCCAACGGGCACTTGCCTTACAGAAGTTCTACTTATCCGGCCTACTTGGCAAGGAAAAAGCTACAACTCTCCGTGTGCTCCATCGCCTGAGAGACGAGAGTCATCTCCTTCCCGAGTTTCCATTGCCTGCGGATCAGCCGCGTTCGAGTCGCGCAGCAGCGACTGCATCCTTGCGACATGCTACCAACTTCGCTGAGCCTATCAAGAAGGACGAAGTAATTTCTCTAGCTGAAGCATGGGCATTTGCATCCGACGATGCAGGAGCCAGCGAGCATGAACATGTGGAACAGAAGCTGGCCGAAGGGAATGAATCACTTCAGAATGCAAAGCAGGAACTAGAGGCAGTTGCTCGAATGCTCAATCAAGATGATGAGAGCATCATGGGAGATGATCAAAAGGAAAACAAGACCACGGACGGATGACTAGATCTCGAACCAAATTAGAACAGCGTGAAGCACAACCCAAGGGTCCGTGGGCTGGTCTCAAGGGCACTATAGGCACCAGGGAGTGACGGCTATATCATTAGTCAGAGAGTCAACAGTCGCAGTGTGACTGTGGAAATCAATAACTAGAGTCAACATGACCTAGCATAAATCGAGCAGGCGGGAAAGTGTGAGTGTATGTAGGTTGACCCCGAGACGTGGATAACCTCCGAATGCCGGTGCTTCAAGCTTAGATGAGTCCTCGTTCCTTGGCATAGTTGGCCATACTTTTTTTGGCGTGCAAGCGAGCCCTACCTAGCCGGCAAGCGGAGACCAGAAGAGCATTGATCTGCTAAGACGACCACGCTTACTAGTCTAGCATTAGACTTGCAAAACTTGCTGGGAGGATTTACACCTAACGCGCGGCTGATGGGTTAGACCAGCTGGCGGCTGTAGGACAAGGAGACTAAGTGATGTCTAATACTGATTGAATAATTATTATCCTATGAGAACCAAGGCTTGCTCCAATGACTGTGAACCATTCCGTTGTCTCGCCAGGGATCGAGATCCAGCAGTGCAACTAACCCCTGGACAACATTATCAGCACACCAGAATATTAGTGATCGGTATTGCTAACCGCAGGCTCCTGTGCTCCAGTCTGGACAGTACGGCTGCTAGTGGCTTTTAGTAGGCAGTTAGACTATGGCACTAATGGAGTCAAGACCCATCGACCATCTGCGTCGCTGCACCTCCCCGTACTCCTGTTGCCGACCTTCGCACTTGCTGATTGGTTTGTGGTGGGAGCGGTGAGGTCATTGGCCACTAAGAGGCGAGATCGGCCAGCGTTCCAGTGGCTGTTTCCTTGCCTCTAACACAGAAGGGAGGAGAAAAAAAAAAGAGGGCTCCGCACACCGGAGCTCTTATCGGCCCTGAATGTTGGGGGAGTTTTTGGTACTTTCGGGAATTGTGGTCGACTCATTCGGGTCTCTCCACTGCAATTGGCGCTGGTTCATGACTCCCTCCTTCAGAGGAGAAGTGCCGCATTGACTCATCGCCTTTCCCGACGGAGCCTTTTTCTTTCGTCTCTTCCGCTTCATCCCTTCTCTTCCTCTCTTTGCTTCCTTGTCTTCACACCTCTTCTCTCTTCCTCCCTAGACAATCCTGTCGGGACATCTACCCTCCCTTTGAGTCCTCCCCTTGTGACTTGGGCGTGTGGCAGAAAGCGGGACACTACCAACCCCAAAGGAGAGCCGGATAAAAAAAGCGGAGTCTCCAGGTTTGTCCTTGTTCGGAACCTCCAGACCAGCAATTGAGAGTGTATTCCTCTCAATTGACTCATCGCACATCCCTTCCTCCCCCCTCCTTCCTCACACCTAATTTTCGCTTCCATCAGCGCAGCGCGCAATGGTTCTCGCCGCTCGTTGCGGGCAGGCTACGTCCGCCCTCCTGCGTCAGAGATGCTTGGCTGAATCCCGTCGATCGGCCCTCGCTCTGCGCCCGTTCTCCTCCCAGACCACGGCTCACTCGACGGCTTCGAGTCTCAGATTGGCGAAGGCGCCTTCTCCGTGGCGACCGCAGCAGCTGCGCTCTTTCTCCAGTGCCCTTCGTCGCTTGGCTTCGGAGTCCTCGAATGCTCCCTCCGCCGACAGCTACCTGGCCAGTGGGGTTGTGAAGCCCGGCAGCAACCTGGTCGATGTCAAGAAGGTCTTGGTCATCGGTAGTGGTGGTCTGAGCATTGGACAGGCCGGAGAGTTCGATTATTCCGGTACGTTCATCTTGCATTGGCTTTCAACAATGAAGTTTGACTGCCATGCTGTGGGCTCAAAAGCGCCTCACTATCATACAGAGCCCATCTTTATTATCTATACCCGTGAAATGAGGTGACTAATACTTCGCTTTTTAAACTCGTGCAGGTTCCCAGGCTTTGAAGGCCCTCAAGGAAGCCGGCGTGCAGTCGGTCCTGATCAACCCCAACATCGCTACGATTCAGACGGATCACAAGCTTGCAGATGAAGTTTACTACCTCCCGGTCACTCCGGAGTATGTGACCTACGTTATTGAGCGGGAGAGACCCGATGGTATCTTCCTTTCTTTCGGTGGTCAGACCGCTCTGAACCTTGGTGTGCAAATGAACCGCATGGGTATCTTCGAGCGCTATGGTGTCAGAGTTCTTGGAACCAGCATCAAGACCCTGGAGACTAGTGAGGACCGTGACCTTTTCTCGAAGGCTCTTAACGAGATCAACATCCCTATCGCCGAGTCCATTGCCGTCAGCACCGTTGACGATGCCCTGAAGGCTGCTGAGCAGGTTGGATATCCTATCATCGTCCGTTCCGCATATGCTCTGGGTGGTCTCGGTTCCGGTTTCGCCGCCAACCCCGAGGAACTGAGAAACTTGTCTTCTCGTTCTTTGACTCTTTCTCCCCAGATTCTCGTTGAGAAGTCTCTCCGTGGCTGGAAGGAGGTTGAGTATGAGGTTGTTCGTGACGCTGCCAACAACTGCATCACTGTGTGTAACATGGAGAACTTCGATCCCCTTGGTATCCACACCGGTGACAGTATCGTTGTTGCCCCCAGTCAGACCCTGTCTGATGAGGAGTACCACATGCTCCGCACTGCTGCCATCAAGATTGTGCGTCACTTGGGAGTTGTGGGTGAATGTAACGTTCAGTACGCTCTGCAGCCCGATGGTCTTGACTACCGTGTCATTGAGGTCAACGCTCGTCTCTCTCGTTCGTCTGCTTTGGCCTCCAAGGCTACCGGTTACCCTCTCGCCTACACTGCTGCGAAGATCGGTCTGGGTCACACCCTTCCCGAGCTTCCCAACGCTGTTACCAAGACAACTACTGCCAACTTCGAACCCAGTCTCGACTACATTGTCACCAAGATCCCCCGGTGGGATTTGAGCAAGTTCCAGCACGTGAAGAGAGATATTGGCAGTGCCATGAAGTCTGTTGGTGAGGTCATGGCTATTGGTCGTACCTTCGAGGAGTCCTTCCAGAAGGCCATCCGCCAGGTTGACCCTCGCTTCGTTGGCTTCCAGGGCGATGCGTTCGAGAACCTTGACGATGCTCTGCAGAACCCTACCGACCGCCGCTGGTTGGCTGTTGGCCAGGCTATGCTTCACGAAAACTACACCGTGGACCGTGTCCACGAGCTGACCAAGATCGACAAGTGGTTCCTCTACAAGCTCCAGAACATTGTGGACTGCAACAATGAGCTCAAGGAAATTGGCAGCCTCTTCGGTCTCCAGAAGGAGGTCATCCTGAAGGCCAAGAAGCTCGGATTCTCCGACAAGCAGATCGCTCTCCTTGTCGGCGCTACTGAGGATGATGTCCGTGCTCGCCGCAAGTCTTTCGGTATCAAGCCCTGGGTCAAGAAGATTGACACTCTTGCCGCTGAGTTCCCTGCTGACACCAACTACCTTTACACTACCTACAACGCTACCTCTCATGATGTCACCTTCGATGATCACGGAATCATCATCCTGGGTAGCGGTGTCTACCGTATTGGAAGCTCTGTTGAGTTCGACTGGTGTGCTGTCAACGCTACTCTCTCCCTGCGCAACATGGGCAAGAAGACTGTCATGATCAACTACAACCCCGAGACCTACTCTACTGACTTCGATACCGCTGACAAGCTCTACTTTGAGGAACTCAGCTACGAGCGTGTCATGGATATCTACGAGCTCGAGAGCGCCAGTGGTGTCGTTGTTTCCGTCGGTGGTCAGCTTCCTCAGAACATCGCTCTCCGTCTGCAGGAGACTGGCGGTGCTCACGTTCTCGGTACCGACCCCAAGGACATTGACCGCGCCGAGGATAGACACAAGTTCTCCCAGATCTTGGACAGCATCGGTGTCGATCAGCCCGCCTGGAAGGAGCTCACTTCCGTTGCTGAGGCTGAGCGTTTTGCTGAGTCCGTTGGATACCCTGTCTTGGTCCGTCCCAGTTACGTCCTGTCTGGCGCAGCCATGAACGTTATCTACAGCGTCGATGAGCTCAAGGAGAAGCTCCTCAACGCCAGTGCTGTTTCGCCTGACCACCCTGTCGTTATCACCAAGTTCATCGAAGGAGCTCAGGAGATCGACGTTGACGCCGTTGCTTCCAACGGCAAGCTCCTGCTTCACGCTGTTAGTGAGCACGTTGAACCCGCTGGTGTTCACTCTGGTGATGCCACTCTTGTTCTCCCTCCTGCCGAGCTCGACGAGTCTGTCATGAGCCGCGTTAAGGAGATCGCTGAGAAGGTCGCTAAGGCCTGGAACATCACTGGTCCCTTCAACATGCAGATCATCAAGGCCGATGTTGAGGGTGCCCTGCCTGAGCTGAAGGTCATTGAGTGCAACCTTCGTGCTTCTCGCTCCTTCCCCTTCGCCAGTAAGGTTCTGGGAACCAACTTCATTGATGTTGCTACCAAGGCCCTTGTTGGACGTGACGTTCCTGAGCCCGTCGATCTCATGAGCGTCAAGCGCCCTTACCTTGCTACCAAGGTTCCCCAGTTCAGCTGGACCCGTCTGGCTGGTGCCGATCCCTTCCTTGGCGTCGAGATGGCCAGTACTGGTGAAATTGCCTGCTTCGGTAAGGACGTTGTTGAGGCCTACTGGGCTTCTCTCCAGTCTACCATGAACTTCCGTGTTCCCGAGCCTGGTGAGGGTATCCTGCTCGGCGGTGACATCACCAACCCTGCCCTGTCTCAGATTGTGGAGTACCTCCAGCCTCTGGGCTTCAACTTCTTCGCTGCCAGCGAGGCTGTCAAGAAGCACCTCGAGTCGGCTGCCGGTGTCGCCGTGCAGGTGATTGAGTTCCCCAAGGAGGACAAGCGTGCCCTCCGTGAGGTCTTCCAGAAGTACAACATCCGTGGTACTTTCAACCTTGCCAAGACCCGTGGCAAGACTCTCCTTGACGAAGATTATGTTATGAGACGTAACGCTGTCGACTTCGGTGTCCCCTTGTTCATGGAGACCAAGGTACGTACAATCTTGACCCACATTTGACTACTCATACAGTGTCTAACCAATCTCCCCTAGACTGCTCTGCTCTTCGCCCAGGCTATGAGCCAGAAGCTGCCCCGCAAGGAAGGAATTCCTGCCGAGGTTCGCACCTGGTCCGACTTCGTTGGCGGCAAGCTGCTGTAAACCAAGTTTCATGGCAGTGAAGGAAAAAAGGGACGCAAAAAGTTTTCTTTATAGATATAATTGCGGTTTTTGGATGAGTGTCTTCCTAGGCACTGTCAAGCCGCCGTGTTTGGCGTAGCGGATAAGGCTCCATGTTGATAGATATGATGTTTTACTGGCCCTGGTATGGAGGGGGTTCTGCTTCGTCTTGGAAAAGACGATACGATGAATACGTTCATGTACTTTTGACTGGTTTTGTGGATCATTAGCTGTGTTGCCCATGCCTTGGTTATTCATAGTTTTCGTAAGAAGGCCTTGTGCCAGGGTGAAGGGCTTAGTGAGTCGGCTTTCTTACTCAAAATTGTATTTTTAGTTGTTATTTGAACAATAATCTCTCTACTTTGGATCTTTACATGTGTAATTCTCCGGTTTAAACATGTAGGATGTGATTGGAAGGACTATCTATATATGACTAATCTATGGGTCATGGCAATTTGGATAACAAAAAGTTCGCTGCTGGAAGATGATCTAGAGGCAAGAAGCCGGGTTGTCAATGAGCTCCGGGGCAGAGCTAGAGTGGATCAAAATATCGGCAATCTTTTTTTTGTTTGCTCAAGTCCAGCAATACCCTCGGATCTAATCACTGGAGCTAACTATCTGCAGCAACCGGGAACCAGCAACAACCGAAACCGGCGCGTACAACAAAGGCAAAAAAGATGTCCAAGGAGGCGGCCCTTGCTCCTGTAACCCTCGCAAGGACCACACCCTCAATCGCTCCAGATGGTCTAGGAAGAGGTCTGTTCGCTGCGACCGACATCAGCCCCGGACAAGACGTCCTGCACATCTCCACGCCCTTTGTGGCAGTCTTAGACACCCACCAGCTGGGCGACATATGCTCTGGCTGCTTGGGAAGAAGACAGCTCGAGAACGACGACCGACGCCTGAAAGGCTGCACCGGATGCCAGGTCGTGAAGTACTGCGATAGGGTTGGTGTTTTCTCTCCTTCCCTCAACTTAAGCTTGTGCTCACGTTTGTCGTGTTTCAGACATGTCAAGCCAAGGACTGGAAGTTCGCGCATTCGCTCGAATGCGCCATCTTCCAGAAGCTCCGTCCGCGGATCCTCCCCATCAACGCGAGAGCCGTGCTGCGGATGGTGTTGCGCAGTGAGCGACAGAAGTATCCCCCGCAGGAGGTGGAGATGTTTCTGCAGCTCGAGACGCATATCAAGGACATCCGGGAGGAGAACCCCGCGCAATGGCAGCGGATTTCTATTTCTTCGAAGGCTGTGAAGGCTTATTCGGGGGTGGAGATGAAAGAAGAGGTGATTTCTGCTTATGGTGCTAAGGTGAATACATTTCCAATTGCTTGTTCCCCGCGTTCTGAAGACAGGCACTACATTTGGCGGAACATAGCCAGAAAGAAGAAGAGGGAAAAAGCTGACTGAGTATGTTGGAAAGCTCGAACTCAACTCCTTCAACCTAACCAATGCACTGTACGACCGCATCGGCCTCTACCTGCACCCGTACGCGGCCCTCATGAACCACAGCTGCGACTACAACGCCGTCGTCGGCTTCGACGGCGACGAGCTGTACGTCAAAGCCATCCGGCCCATCGCCCAGGGCGACCAGATCTTCATCTCCTACGTCGACACCACCAACCCGCGCCCGCTGCGGCGGAAGGAGCTCCGCGAACGGTACTACTTCCGCTGCCGGTGCACGAAATGTGAGCAGCAGAGGGAGGAAGAGAACGACGAACAAGTACCTACAGACTCCGCTGCAGCAGAAACAAAAGCCTACGCCCTCCTCTCTCGCACATCCTCGGACTCTTCCTCCGACCACCCTCACCTCCCTGCCCACAACGACCTGGCAACCGAGATTTCTGCCGTGCTGCAGAACCTCCCCCCAACCCGCATCACAACCCAACCCTACGTCTCCCTCCGCGACGAACTGATCGTCGCCCTGCTCGCCCGCCAGCGCTACAAGGCCGCCTTTGCACACGCCGCGGTGCGGTACCTCCGCATCGACCCCGCCGTGTACCCGCGGGAAATCCATCCGATTCGGCAGGTGCATGCGTGGGCGCTGGCGCGGTTGGCGGTGCTGCTGTCGCAGGGGGTGGAGGTGACGCACGGCGGCGAAGATGAGGTGGCGCTGGAGCGGTTCGAGGTGAATTTCAGTCTCGTGCTGTGGGAGGTGTTGCGGCGGTTGGTCGGGCTGGAGGGGAGGAGTTGTGCGGTGCCGGGGTTCCAGGGGTTGGTGAGGGGGTTGATCAGGCAGGTGCAGGCGGAGTTTGCGGCGGCGGGGTTGGATCCGAGGCGGATGGAGGAACAGATCAGGGAGGAGTTGGGGAAGGTGGGCAGATTGGTTGAGTGGATCTTAGGTGGGAAAGTGTAGTTGAAGATATGGGGGCAGGGGGGGATAAAATGCGCCAAGGTAGGGTATCTATGGGTGGTGGTGATCTACAAGGAATGATGAGGAGTTGTTGAAGTTGAAGGTGAATTCGTTAAATTAGACTTTGGCTCCGTGGTTAAAACAAAAGTCTGCGGCCTCAGTTCCAGAAAAAGAAACTGAGGCCCTGGGATATCTCCGTCATCGAGAGAATTCTGAAGACTCCCGGGTTTTGGTTCGTTCTCATGCCGACAAGACCTTTATATTGAGATGCAAACAGCTGACCCGCATTTGACATACAACTAGATGAACCCAGAGAAATGCATATGGTATCCATCCATTTTTTCGTAGATTCTCCCAGCACTTCCGTACGCCCAAATCCTCCAATACAACTCCCCAGAGAAAAGCTTTTCTTCTTTACTTGAGGGGAATGAAACGGGAAGAGTGGGTGGCACCGATACCGGGACGACCGTGCTTGACGGGCTTGCTGTGCGGGTGTTAGACTATGAACCTTACAGGTGCATATGAATATTTGTAGGCGGGCGGGTGACGTACTATGTGATGGAGAATTCACCGAGGTAGTGACCAACCATCTCGGGCTTGACCTCGATCTGGTTGAACTCCTTACCGGAGTAGATACCGACGACGGAGCCGATCATCTCGGGGACGATGATCATGTCACGGAGGTGGGTCTTGACGAGGTCGGGCTTCTCGTTGGGCTTGGCCTCCTGCTTGGCCTTGCGGAGCTTCTTGATGAGGCCCATGGGCTTGCGCTTCAGACCGCGGTTGAAGCGTCTGCGGGCACGGGCGTGAACGACATCACGGAGCTGCTCGGAGGAAAGGTCGAGGAGCCTATATGGTGATCCGTGTCAGATTCCATCTTCTTTCCAATCGATGTGATACAACTCCCTGAGCTCCGACTTTTGCGACCGAGAAATGTCGCAGTTTATCCATGTAGAATAAGGCGCTCGTGATGCTCGGTCGAGGTCGAGGCCCAGGGGGAAATGGATCGGTGGAGTTGGTGTATTTATGGTGTAACGTACTGGTCGAGGTCAATACCGCGGTAGGAGAACTTGCGGAACTGTCTCTTTCTCTTGATCTCTGTTCGTGCGAATATACGTCAGTGGGCTGATCCATTTGAGTTGTGTGTCGTGTTCGTCAAAGCGTTCCCGAGAAGAAAATTTGTCGACAGTATCGCCCGCCACCCGCAGTCACCAACACCCCCAAGTCACATCCATATCGTTTCCATCCTTGTCGCATCACTGATTCCTTTGTATATCCGACACCGCGTTCTTATATCGTGCTCGACAGGAATGGGAAGAGAAAAAGAGGGGTTGTTTCGAACGTACCGGCAGCCTCCTCGGCGTTCTGCAAGTGAAAAGTCAGTCAATAAGTCCTTGTCCCCCTGCCTACTAAGCTAGACCCTTCAATATCATATGGGAGTACTCACGTAGTGCTCGTCGGCCATTTTTGCGGGTGTTCCTCTCAAGGTCGCTTTTCGAACGGGACTCGAAAAGCGAAGGAATATAGGTTGTCGTGTCGTGTCGATGAACGTTCGTCGGGCGTCTCTTGTGCCTCTACGCTGCGGTCGGGAGGTGGGCTGCCGCCTCGTCTAAGCGACTAGTCTAGGGTTGCGACCCTATTCCCCGCTAGTCCGCTTCGGGAACCCATCTATAGGGCCGACCGCCTTTGGCTTCTCCTGCGAGATTGATATGTATGGGGTAATCCTGATAGCCATCCGTATCATTGGCATGGTTTTTGCGGGCCCTTGTATCGCTTTCGCTGAGAGTCGCAGTTTATACCCGTAATCATACATGATCGTAACGATGCCGATATCGCCAGGGCCAGATCTCTTATTCAACGTCTTTAGAGAGGTTAGATATGGCTATATTGTAGCTAGCCGCTAGTTTTACATCCAGATCTTCACTACGCATTACTTTAAATCACGAGAATGGGTCATCAATCGGGAGGTCAGAGAATCTATATTGGCTAAAAAGCTTTTCTCAGCTTACTTATGCAAGGTTCGCGACGGCATCAGGCAAGCCTGATGCATCCATGCTTGGCCAGACCAACGGGCAATCTTTCCCCCAAGTCTGAAAACAATCGCCGCCAGATTCCCATTCCCCCACGAACCGATTTGCTTTTCTCGATGTTCGGCGGAGGCGAGGCGCTTAGTCGAAGAGACCGAAACCCATGTCCTCATCGGACTCCTCCTTCTCCTCCTCCTTCTCCTCAGCGGGGGCGTCACCGCCGGCAGCAGCGCCAGCAGCAGCGGCGGGGGCGGCAGCACCAGCACCGCCGGAGGGAACGGAGGCGAGCTTGGTGGCACCCTCAGCGATCAGCTGTAGTAGCAGAAAGAATCTTGTTAGCGTCGATGTTTCCCTTGGGTGCGCAACGGTCCTTTCAATCTGGGGGCGCAAAACTAACCTCCTGGAGGTCCTTGCCCTCGAGCTCGGAGATGAGCTTGGTGAGGCGCTCCTCATCGGCATCGATACCGACAGAGGAGAGGACGGACTTGATGTCCTCAGCGGAGGGGCTGGCGTTGCCAGCGAGGGACAGGAGGAGGTAGGCCGCGAGGTGCTTCATTTTGAATCTGGACCGAGTAAAAAAAATGTTAGATCACTTCTCTCGATATTGCATAATGCGCAGAGATCGTCACACAGGAAGTCAGAAGGCGTCTTGCAGAAAGAACTTACAGATATTCTTGGATAAAATCCGAACACGAGAATCAATCGATTTAACCGCGAAGTTGAGCGGAGACTGAGACGTCGGGTTGCGAGGTAGTGGACAAAAGAAGAAGAAGTCAGAACCGAATCGTCTAAAATCGAGAAAAGTGCGTTGCGGCTGGTGGGTTGTGGCGCGTGGGCCTGCGTGCTAGTTCCCGCTAAGCGAGCACCTGTGGCGCAGGCGGGTGTCCCGTATTGATGCCTTGGGTGTCCAAAAGCGAGGGTCGATGCGATGGTCACGTGGATCTCTTGCCTTTCAGACGATGGGATGGCGACTGACTTCTTGCAACCGTTTTTGCCCGGCGGCCTTATCTAGACGACCTCCTCGTGGTACTCTCGGAGGTGGTAACAGTTCGCACTGCTACATATTTCACTCCTTTTGTCTGTATCCCATGTCTTGCCTGAGATCTTGAAGAGTGGCACTTTCCGGCTTGGAACTCTATCGAATCTTTAAAGTGGCTCCGCAACGAAGTCATGAAGTTACCCCGTCATACTAACCACCGACGGTGAAGCCCTCTTTGTTCGCATCCTTGTCTGGGTTTTTTGACACTACCTCTGATCAAACTCATTTCTCTCTCATCTGAAAATTCATCATGAGTGTACGGAACCTCACCCTTGACCCTCATCGATGCCGTTACTGATAATCATGCCAGTTTCTCGATTCTGTTCTCTCGTCCATCGAGACGGGCAAACCGTCCCCAATCCCTCAAGTCGCCTCCAACGTATCGCCACCTGTCACTTCCTCTACTGCCAGAACCGAAGTACGCAAGACCAGTCTTGGACCACGGAATGCTCCCCCAACAACAGAACGGAAACCCCTCACGCAGGGGATAAAGCGCAAAGCCGATGAGCCGCTGCCCCGTTCTTCAAAATTGGCACCTCCAGTCCCTCTCAGATCAAATGCCACTAAGCCCACAGTCTCCGCAGCTGGAAAGGCACGTCCCAGCGCTCCCACAGCAGCCGTGGCGTCTGCCTCCACAAGTCGCTCATCCACGCCTCAAAGATCAGCGCAGGTGTCCTCGAAACCACCCCCCAAAGGCTCCTTTGCAGATCTCATGGCCAAAGCCAAGGCGCTACAAGAAAAGACCCCCACCCAGGTGGGTATGTTCAAGCATCAGGCTGCTGCTAAGGAGAAGCTTAGCAAGGTAGAACGAAAGAAACGAGCGACAGAAGCTCAAACCAAAGAGAAGGAGAGTCGGTCGGCTAAAAAGCCTGGTGCCACTACTACTGCAGCTGGAAGTGCCAAACCTGGCGTTACGAAGCCTGTGAAAAAGCGGGAGCCGGAAGAGCTCTCCTACAAAGGCACTTCGCGACCTACACCCCGTCCCGCACAACCCGGATATCGTGGAACAGCGGGCTTGCCGGCCAAGCGGAATCCCAGTGACCTCAGGGCCCAGTCTCGGAACAAGCGGTCGAGAATGGATGAGTACTTGGGAACCGATGAGGAAGACGAGGGTGACTATGCCGACGACTACGATGACTACGATTCGGGATCTTCCGATATGGAGGCCGGCTACGATGCTATGGAGGAGGAAGAGGCTGCTGCCCTGGCAGCAGCCAGGCGCGAGGATGAGGAGGAATGGAATGCTGAACAGGCAGCCAAGCAGGCTAAAATGGAACGCCTCAAGAAGCTCAATGCGCTGGCTGCGCGTCGATAATGTGGTGGAAGCATACAATGGACGAACAAAGATTTGACTACTATGTGGTCTCCGTATACATAGGCGGACCCGCCCTGTCACTCCGTCATTTTCCTATGTGTTTTGTGATTTTTTCCCTGGAAGCGGAGCATCAGCGAGGAATACCCCGAGGGTGCATTACATATGTCGTTGCTGTTTTCTTTCTTTTCTTGCCCTTTTGCTGTCTTTGAAGTTGTTTCGATGAGCATCAGCGAGCATCAAGGTGTCGATAGATGGAGTGTTGAATCGTCTTCTTTCGAGTCACATATTTTTATCATAACTTCTATATACAATCATGGGGAGCGTCGCTGTTGTCTAGTTTGAGCTTCGAGCTTCAGGCCACACTTCAGGACCTGGACTCTGCAATAGAAATGAGCCATTACCAATGCAATCGTCATTGTTGAGCAAGAAAAGACCGAACAACAGATTGGCCTTGCATGGACGGACCGGATTTCTTATCATTACTTCAATCAGCCCCACCTGCAGGCGGTGACATCACTTTTATCCTCCCTCCACCGCCGTCTCTTTAAACCACATCAGCTCACCCTCTAATCGCAGAATACAATACCTGCTTCCAATACATCAAAATTGTTGTCAATTATTCTTTAGAAGTCGGGCTCACTCACTGCAGTTGGTCACAACAAAAATGGAGTCTGTCCATCATATATCAACCTCTTCCAAAGTCCTTCTCAAGAAGGCGCGCAAGATGGTGCCGCCCATGCTGGAGCAATTTCACAAAGGTTCGAATCTGGCAGCCCTTGCCTTGCGCTCAGACTCACAACTTACAAACAATCTAGGACAGCATGGACGCGTTGCAGTCATCGGCGGATCTTTAGAGTTCGTTGCCCCCAAACCAAACATTTGCATTGCAACAAACTGAGAGGAATGTTATAGTTACACAGGCGCGCCGTACTTCTCCTCAATGGCATCGGCCAGACTAGGTAAGCATTTCCTTCAAGTGTACTTGACAGGGATGCCCAAACTGACATGGAACTGCAGGATGCGATATGGTAGGCAATTGGGAACCCACTCTGTCTGCTGCGTGCGTGAGATCTCCGTTCTGACGAATCACAAAAAGAGCCACGTTATTTGTGATAAATCGGCAGCCACCGTAAGTTGACAGATCGTACCCGGCTTTCATAGGAGCGGGGAAGGAGAAATGCTCATAATGTCGCTCGTCTAGGTCATCAAAACCTACTCTCCCAACCTGATGGTCCACCCTATTTTGCCAAGCAGCGCCTCGGTCAAGGACCCCGAGTCCATCGATGCCCCATCTCTCGCTAGCCCGATCATCAACATGCTTTCCCGGCTGCATTGTCTGGTGATCGGACCCGGCCTGGGTCGCGACGGGGTCACCCTCAAGGTGGTGACGGAGGTGATGAAAGAAGCGCGGTCCCGCTCGATTCCCTTTGTCCTCGATGCAGACGGCCTCCTCCTCGTGACCGAGAATCCGGATCTGGTGCACGGGTACAAAGAGTGCATTCTGACGCCCAACGTGAACGAGTTCAGCCGCCTGGCCAAAGCGCTGGGAATCGACGTGCCGAGTCTCGCGGAAATCAACTCCAAGTCGGACGGCGCGGACCGGACGAGCGAGGAATCCAAGGCCTGTGAGCGGTTGTCCAGTGCGCTGGGCGGTGTCACCATCATCCAGAAGGGTCCCCATGATGTGATCTCGAACGGGATCACGACGCTCATCTCCGATATTCAGGGTGGCCTGAAGCGCAGCGGGGGCCAAGGCGATACGTTGACGGGATCCTTGGGCACGCTCCTCGCCTGGAGAGCTGCCTACCACGACGGGCTCTGGGACTCCGGTGAGAAAGACAACGCCAAGGAAGCGCAGACCAAGGAAGACATTCGGGCGGAGCTTGAGTCCGAGGATAAGCGGATGTCGCCTTGCACGACCCTGCTTCTGGCTGCGTTTGCTGGTAGCTCGATTACGCGGGAGTGCTCCCGACGGGCTTTCCTTGCCAAGGGCCGCAGTATGCAGGCCAGCGATTTGACGGATGAGGTCCACGAGAGCTTCCTCAAGTTGATTGGTGAGCCCGAAGCGTCCAAAATGCACCTTTAGAGGATGTCTCTGCTAGGGTCATCATCCAAGAGGCTGTAAATTTAGTCGGCAGCTTGCGGTTGGGGAGCTGTGCTAGGCCATGACATAATGAAATTCATTCCCTATGGACTCTTGGCACGTATCCTGTCTATAAATACATGGATTGCTCCCTGGTAGTTAAAGTGAAGTCTGCAACAAGCTCGTATTTGGGCCAAGGCTGAATGCACATCCCGCCTCAAATCCGGGGTATATGCGCGATTGACTTTTTTTTCATCGGCCGAGACACGGGAACACAGAACTCTACTTTGACTAGTCGATGAACGGTGCCTGCTTTTGGCTCACAAGCGTTCTTGCTTCAGATGAGAAATGGTTGCACAACAGGATTTGGCTTCGTTCTTGAGAGCCACAGGGCTTAGTTCGCATCTAGCATGCCTGATGTGCGTAGCTTCAACCGCAAACCCGAAAATCACAGTGGCCGAATCTAGTTACTACAGTATCCTACCCTAAAACAAGCCAAATGGTCTTCTATCAGAGTACATTAATCCACCGCTTTGCTGTAAAGCAGGGCCATGAAGTCTATTTTCAATGGTTCCCAACGCCGGTTTCACCGTGTCCATGAGAGACAACAATCCAGTCAAAGAGACCCTCAACTATGAGCTTGAGCCCGAGTCAGCTTCTTGTATACCAGTTTGCCTTTGAGACAGACATCATCAGAAAAGTCCTTGATGGAGAACTATCCGGGCATCTACTCGTCACATGGACAGGCGAGACCCGTAGGCAGTGCCCGACGAGATCCTAAAACAAAAGGGCTCTTTATCTCGTCCATGCATACTTCTGAGCTCAATCAGAGACATGCAGCTTGAAAATACTACATCACCTGATGCGAGCTTCAACTCTTAGCCAACACTTCCTTACAAGAACTATTACACTGTCTCACATCTATCTAGCCTCAACGAGCACTACCAGCTCAGATGGACAGGGAAGACCCAACTACTTAGGTATAGACCTCGTATTCAGGCCGGCCGGCCGCGTTGCCGAATCATATGCGTATGGATTGGTGGATCTCATCATCTATTTTCGCCAACATCCAAGATAGACCCTGTTGTCTCAAAGGAACTAGATCCTAGGACATGGGTGTTGGGGAGGCTGGGGGGCTGTACTCGTCGTTCAGAGTTTTCGCGCTGGCTGGTTGTCCTCGGGGTTCAAGACATCGAGCAGTATCCGGTGCACGACCCTGCCTCAGAGCTATACGAGCTTCACCGGGAATAGTAACACTGAGCCCTACTTTAGGATCCACTTACCGATGTCATGGTCCCCCCCGAGACCCGCCATGTCATGCCATGGCTGACCCCCCCCATTACCTTGGAATAAATAGGGCAGTGCTTGAGGACTCTATGCCCGGTTTCTGCAACCGGCCAACCTTGATCTCCGTCACCTGGAAGCCTATAAAGGCGCCATCCTCAAGCCCCGATCAGTCGAGGCATTTCCCTCCTCATCAGCACGAGCATCACTTAACTCTCTTCAATACCAAAGAACTACCTCAATCAAATTACACCAGCTACATCCAAACCAACACACCCCCACACACCTCAAGCATACTCATACATCCCAACCGAACCCCAACCACCATCAATCACAATCAAAATGTACACCCCAACCCTCCTCCTCCTCGCAACCGCCCTCCTAGCCAGCGCCTCCCCGACAGGCACCCTACCCCCCGCGGCCCCCATCTGCGGCACCTGCAACCCGCTCTCCGGCCAGAACAACTGCGACGTGACCACCTCGTGCATCAACACGGGCACGCGCTTTCACTGCGCCTGCCGCGCGGGCTACAAGGCCTCGCCCGCCAACACCGACGTCACCAAGCAGTTCCGGCTGCCCTTCCCCAACTACCAGTTCCTGGTGTTTGTCCCCGAGTTCACCCAGTGCAATACCCTGTGCGATAATCCGTACGGCGCCAGTCCGCAGCTTTGTGCGGAGGTGCCGGTGCAGAGTTCTTGTCCTGTTTAGGGGGGTTTGTTTTTGGGGGGCGGGATGAGATGAGGGGTAAGGTGTTGTAACTGGTGGTGATGGGGGGTCTTTTTGGGGAGGGGGAGGGAGGTTGGTTTTATGATCTTGGATATTAAGGGGAAGGGCAGGGGGGGATCATAATTGTGACTTGATGTGTTCTTGGACAAGCTTGATAGGACTTTGCATTTCCTTGGTAGAGATGATATATACGTATTGCTGATGGTGCGACTGTGAAGCCCTTTTGGATTTCATCGGAGCTGTGATCATTCTCTTGGTCCTGTTTGAGAATCTCGAACTCTCTCATCTCATCCGAGACAGAAACTGATGAACAAAGTACCCAAAGGAAGACCCGCATGCTGGCCATCGTAGATTGCTCGAATATTATAGGTATCCTAACACTTTCGAAACATGAAGTCTTGTACACCAAAAACACCAATCCGATTTCTAGCTACCAACCCTCAAGCACGGCACGTCTCCCAGATACGAAACGATGGCCCGACCAGAAGCAATTCGAAGATCAAAAACACCCGAACCCATTCCACCCAGATAGATAAAAATCACTTCCTCTCCGTTGCTCACATATCCATGGTATCGACGAAAAGCAGACGGCTGCCATCACCCACAAGTTGCCAAACCTGAACAGAATAAATCAGTACACTGATATCGTAGTAAAATCAAATGGACTAGTGGAAAACTCACATTCAGATTCTCATACTCATCCACAGCCATTGTAAGCTGGTCCTCGGTGAAGCCCTTGGCAAGCACCCGCTCGCGGATACGTCTCATGCTGAGTTCACCCTCGTCGCCGTCGCCGACCGCCGCAGCACCACTCTCCCACATGCTGCGGATGAGGTGGTAGATCTTGCTGCTAGGGCTCTGATCCAGACCTGACTGGCCATCGCTGGACAAGGAGTCCTTGCTGACCTGGATCAGACGCAGCGCCTCGTCGACATCCTCAATAACGACGACGTCGCTGAAGCGCAGACGAGCCAACGCCTGCGACAGACGGACAACACCCAACAGAGTACGGGGGGTGACGTGGGAGAATTGCTTCCGTTCGTCTTCATCTTTTTTCTGCTGTTTCCTCATTCTCACGTACGCTCCCACCATGTAATCCGAGACAGAGGATGGAACAACCGGCCGGTAGGTCCGCGCCTTGGCGATATACTGGCGGACCTCATGGGGCGTGAACATGACGCCTGCATCCTCGGTCTCGGGGTGTCTGTTGTGCATGTGGACATATGTCACATGGTTGGCAAGCTCTTCGTCTGCATCGGGTGAAGGGGTATCAAGGATCAAAAACATCACATCGAAACGAGAGAGTAGTGCAGCTGGCAGATTAATGTTCTCAACAGGAGACACCCGCGGGTTGTATCGGCCGTAAAGCGGGTTAGCTGCGGCCAAGATAGAGGTCCGAGCATTGAGGGTGGTTGTAATTCCTGCCTTGGAGATGGAAATGGTCTGCTGCTCCATCACTTCGTGGATAGCGGTCCGATCGGAGTCGTCCATCTTATCGAATTCATCAATGCAGCAAATACCATTGTCGGCCAGGACAAGGGCTCCGCCTTCCAAGACCATCTCGTCGGTTACAGGATCTCTCATGACCGCAGCCGTAAGACCAACGCCACTGCTACCACGACCCGTAGTATAGACACCTCTAGGGGCGACCTTGGAAATGTATTTGAGCAGCTGAGACTTGGCAACACCAGGGTCACCCATCAGGCAAATGTTGATGTCACCACGAATGTGCATACCGTCGCCCATCTCCTTCGTCACACCACCAATGAGGAGCAAAAGCAATGCTTTCTTGACGTCAAGATGACCGTAAATCTCCGGTGCAATTGATCGCGACAGATATTCGTACATGTTGCCAGACTTCTGGTGCTGTTCGATCTTGCGGAGAGTGCGACTATCCATGGCAGTATCTTGGTAGGACTTCTTGTGCTGGGTAATGTGTTGGGCTTCCAAGTAGGTATCGGTCAAGAGACCGGCACGGATAGCCCTGAATCCAGTGTAGGGTATAGGGAGAAAGATACCCGCAATATCAACAACATCTCCAGGGTTCAGCTGGCGAGTGAGGCTTCCATGGCAATGGACGGTCATGGTGCGCGGGATGTGGCCCACGGGCACCTGGTCCGCCATCTCCTGGATCTTGACTTCTTGAAACGGAACGAACTTCGAGGCACGTGTGGAAAGGAACAGCTGCCCCTTTGACTGATTTGTTTGACATTCCGTCGATTTACACTCTGTCATCGGAAGGAATTGCTTGGTGGTGACTGGTTGGAACACTTCACTTCCACAGCGATCACACGTATAAGCATTGATCTCAACGGCAGGCTTGACGTCCGAGACACGAGTCGTGATACCGCGGACTGTGATCAAGCTACCGATATGTTCTGCCCGCACATTCCGCACTGCGATAGCCTTGGACTGACGGTCGGTGCTCGATCCGGAGGGTGTGAGGGGTTTGAAATTGACCGTGTAGCGACGAGTCAGTTCAGGAGGAAAGATCGAGTCGGCAGCCTCTGCATCTGCGTTGGCTTCTGCCGCCATCAGCATGGCTTCGTTTCGCTTTTCACGTTGCGACATGATCACGTCAAGCACATCGTCCTTGAACCTGTGAACAATCAGCAGTGCTACAACATGAACGAACACGGGCTGGCATACGTGATGTCCTTGCTCTCCTTGGGCATGAGATCGTCGATCGCCCGCGAGAAAAGCTCAATGTAGTGGTGAGTGTTCTTTTGCACACTTTCGACAAGGCGCAAGTCTGTATCATCGGAAAGAGACTTCTCGTACTATTTTGACATTAGACATGTCTGGGATAGTCGTGATATATCGAGTCCTTACAGTAGCCAGGTCATCCAATTCGACCAAAATATTCGTGCGCTCTCGGTCAGCGACATCCTGCAACAGCTGCATATACTTGAGCTTCGGCTCTCGTCGTCTGCGGCCAGGCCGCTGTGCGCCATCCTCCACATCATCCATGAAATCATATTCGTCGCTGGTGCCATCCTCTTCGAGGTTGAGGTCTTCAATGGCTTCGGTCGCGGCAGACTCGGACGCCGACTCAAAGCTCTTGAAATGCTTCAGGAAGTCCTTAAATCCCTCCAATTGCGCCTCATAATCGACATGAACGTTGTATGTGAGCAAAGACATTATGCGACAAAGGCACTAGCCAGGTTCATTCAATTCAATAGCTGGCTCAGTGAAGCAGGTAGTGGCTGGTCAAATTCGCATGGACCGTGTGGTGGTGAAAAGAAGGCGGGCGGTTGCTGTGGTGGTTGTCTTGGCAGCTCTCGTCGCTGGGGCCAGTGGGTTTGGCACTAGGCCGAACTAGGTCTTAATAGCAAAGACCGTCGACACGTCGCGACGCGTCTTTTCGTGTCTCGGATTATCCATTACCTGCTAGGCCCAATTCGCTCTAGCGGAGGGGCACGTGTATCGGAGGGGATTAACCCTCGGCCCGAGTGCTCAAGGCGGGCCGGCCTCGGCGAACGGCGAGCTTGCGGAGTCAATGAGCGACGAAGTCCGGGGTTGATGTTCCGCACTTGTCAATCTCGATTTATTCATGTCATCTCAGATAGACCCTGTTCTCTCCTCCACACAGAATTTGAAGTCTGCTCTTTAGCGCGCAACAATGGCGCCTAGAAAGCCCTCCACCACCGCCGAAGTCTCTCTGGTGCCTCTGAAGAACTGTCTGGTCAATCTCCCGCCGTCGCTGGTCGCACTGCTGGTCAATGCCAACACAGTAAGATTCCATCTCTCGCTGCGAGCTACTCGGCGCGACATGGTGATTCTAAATCTAAGGTCTACAGGCTGCTCAGAATGTGATAGTCGAGCTCCAATACCGCCCAGCTGCTGTAAAGAGCAATAGCAACTCCACTCATCGCTCATGCTACTTAGGCTGGACGGGTATGCCCAGCAAGCGCAAGCTTGCCCCTGTCGTTGGAAGAGACGGTATCAATAGTAGCTCTGCTGCCAGAGAGCAGGAGGTTTCTACTGTCGAGTTGGATACCACCTTCGGCCGAGTCCTCGGACTGGCGGATGGACAGAAGGTACATGTGCCCTCGGCCCTGTTAGAGCTCGTAGTTCTAATGTACGGCAGGTCGGAATCTATATTCATCTTGATCCTCCAGTAGCTCATACCATCAACATTGAGCCATTGACACCAGAGGACTGGGAAAGTATGATTGCGCTCCATTGCCCTCGCCCCCCCCCCAAATTTGCCCTCGTCAGATCTGCTAGCTGACAATGAGCCCGCCGTCACATAGTTATCGAACTCCACGCTACATTCTTGGAACTCAATCTCCTGTCGCAGATTCGCGCTCTACCAAATCCTGCATATACTACAACACAGTCAGAACACATGCATCCCCTTGCACTACACCTGTCACCGACCTCAACTGCGAATATCGTTATCACCTCTATGACGCCCGCACCTCCTACCACCTCGCCGTTTGCGAAGATAGCACCAGATGCGGAAGTCATCGTTGCTCCAAAAACCCGACCCAAGGCTAACAGGGGGTCTCGCGCTGATAATCGCAGCGTGGCTGGCAGCAGCCGGAAAAGTGTGGGTGGACGAAGTAGCGGAAGCACGGTGCGGCCAAAGAGCAGCCGCTCAGACCCGACAAGCAGAGGTTCGCTCTTCTTCAGAGGAGTTGAACGTCATCTGTCGGAGCAATTCTTCGATGACGAGGCAGAGTCAGATGCGAATGATGGCTTTCGTATCTGGCTAGATCCTGACATGCTTGCGACAAACGAGCTCCGCGGAGCCACCTGGGCCTGTGTTTCCGCCGTGCAGCCGTCCGGTCTCAAAGCGCCGCTCGACCCACAGCAACAAATGGAGCAAGCAGAGCAAAAGGCTAACGAAGCCGGAACACCAACAACTAAGTTAGTGGCCAAACTGGTTCCCTGGATTGACGCTCCGGATACTCAGCATGCTGCCATTTCTTCCTTACTATGCACTGCTCTAGGGACAGAAGGCTTAATGGGAGGTATTGTTCGCGTGGAGGCAGCTCCTCCACCGCTGCAACGCTCGGCTGTCAAGACGATCAAGGTGTATCCGTTTATGAGCGGTTCGTCGAGGAGAAAGGACGGCTTGAAATTCGGGTCTGACACAGCGGCGGCAAGAGATGCATTGGCTGAGCGCATTAAACTCATATATGGGACCTCCGGGTTGAACGAGGGGCTCCTGGCGGGGCCACTCACAGATGGGATGATGCTGCCCGCCGCGGATTACAAAATTACAGGCACCGCCTTTGATGGCGCTATTCTTCGCTTCGATCCTCCATTGAAGGCTGGCTCGGATACAGCCAAGCCAGGGACTGGATGGCTCGTTGGCTCCGAAACCAAACTACCACTTGACGTACAAGCCGAAATAGCACGTCCAGCCGAGCCCGGCTCGTCCTTAAACCCACCTGATGAAATGATCCCGGCCAATGTCCCCGAACTCGTCGGGATTGAAAAGGTTATATCGCAAGCTTTGGACAACTTGACCAAGTCATCTTCTGTTCTACTTACTGGCAGTATTGGTTCTGGAAAGACCTCATTGAGTCATCTCTTGGCCCACCATGTTCGACGGGACTACTTGTTTAACATCAAATATTTTTCCTGCCGGAAGCTCGTAACGGATGAAACTCGGATATCCAACATCAAGGAAACCTTGAATCGTTTGTTTATGTCTGCTTCTTGGTGTGCTCGGCTCGGAGGACAGTCTGTTGTGATCCTGGATGATCTTGACAAACTGTGCCCAGTGGAAACAGAATTGCAGGTGGGGAGTGACAATGGTCGCAGCCGACAAAATAGCGAAGTTATATGTTCCATGGTCCGCGACTATTGCTCAATGAACTCTTCTGTGGTGCTTCTGGCAACAGCTCAGTCGAAGGAGTCCTTGAACAACGTCATTATCGGCGGCCATGTGGTCCGGGAAATAATACATCTCAGGGCTCCTGATAAGGAAGGACGACGCAAGGTGCTCGAGCAACTCACAATGCAGGACAGAGAGTCCTTTCCTCATACCAATGGCCATGCGCGAAACGCCAGCACCTCTACCCATGATTCGTGGCTGGATCCTTCCAACTCTGGGAGTCGGCCAAGTTCCGCCGGTGCGGATGGCTTTGTGCTTGGGCGGGATGTGGACTTTTTAGAACTGGCTGGCAAGACAGATGGGTTTATGCCAGGTGATCTGGTTCTGCTATTGTCTCGTGCCCGCAATGAGGCCCTCATACGTTGTGTTCAGAGTTCTCTTCCTTCCTCAAAGTCGATCGCCCTTGGTGCTGATGATTTTGACAACGCGATCAAGGGCTTTACCCCTGCCGCATTACGCAACGTGACGCTCACCTCATCTACTACGACCTTCTCCGGCATTGGTGGCTTGACGGAGACTCGAAAGATGCTTCTGGAAACGCTTCAATACCCCACCAAGTACGCGCCTATTTTCGCCCAATGCCCTCTACGCCTCAGATCAGGCCTGCTGCTTTACGGATACCCGGGTTGCGGAAAGACACTTCTCGCCAGCGCGGTTGCGGGAGAGTGTGGCCTTAACTTCATAAGCGTAAAAGGTCCGGAGATCTTGAACAAATACATTGGTGCTAGTGAAAAGAGTGTTCGTGATCTCTTCGAACGAGCGCAAGCCGCCAGACCCTGTATCCTCTTCTTCGACGAATTCGACAGTATCGCCCCGAAGCGTGGCCACGACTCCACCGGGGTTACTGATCGCGTTGTGAACCAACTTCTCACACAGATGGATGGTGCAGAAGGTCTCTCGGGAGTGTATGTGCTCGCGGCCACTTCCCGGCCTGACCTCATCGATCCTGCCCTACTGCGTCCCGGTCGTCTCGATAAGTCCCTGATCTGCGATATGCCCAACCACCCAGATCGACTTGACATTATTCGTGCTGTGAGCGAGAAGCTCAAAATGGACGAGGAGGTCGCTGCACGACTTGACGAGGTCGCCGCCCGTACCGAAGGCTTCTCCGGTGCTGATCTGCAAGCCGTTGTCTATAACGCTCATCTCGAGGCCGTGCATGACGCTCTCGGCGACCGCTCAGCAAACGACACACAAGCAACGAAGAATGGCACTACGAAACCATCCTCCACAGATACCAGCGGCGCTACCAGCAAGTCCTTCATTCAATTTCTGTATTCCGCATCCGAGCAGCACGCGGGATCAGTGTCGATGCCTCCGCCCGCTGTCATCGCCTCCAAGCTGGAAGCTATGAAGAGCGCTCGCCGTCGCCTGCGACAGCAGGAGCAAGGGATGGCCAGCGCACCGACCAACGGGTCGTCCGCTCAGGACGAACCTCGGGAGGAGATCATTGTCCGATGGGAGCACATGGAGCGGTCGCTCAAGACCACGCGCAGCTCTCTGAGCGACGCTGAGCGGCGACGCTTGGAAGCTATCTACCGTGAATTTATCTTTGGACGGAACGGAGAGATGCCTACTGGCGAGGGTGGACGAGAAATTGGAGGTCGCACCAGCTTGATGTGATGACGGGTTGTCGTTCGTCACAGAAGCTGTGCGGAGAGGTTTCATGTATATCACGTCTAATAGAATGTATATACGAGGGTCATTTCACGGTGTTTAGTTCCAGTCCGGTTTCAGGAGGTAAAAATAATCGCCCGGGAGCGCCCGGATTCGAACCCCCAACCTACACGAATTCAATTTACTTGCTCGTACCCCCAAAAAGAGGTCTGTAAATGTTCGCAAAAAAACTGGTAGCTTCTCTTTGATTGAGCGTGTCATCCTTAGTGCAGGGGCCATGCTAATCTTCTCTGTATCGTTTCAAATTGACCAAATGCCCGAAGGCAACAGGATTACATTTCAACGGGCTATATAGCAACGGCGCTAATGAGCGCTATCTATGATTGGATAATTAAGCGAGGGCTGCCGCTGGGTGCCGGCGGTCTGTGAACACCAAAAAATGGCTCAGGTGCCTCGTGGGTGGCCGCCCATAATGGTTGTTGGGCCTTGTGTGATGGCCACCAGAAAAGCACTTCTTCAGGATGCTTGCGACGTAGTTCATACCTTGTGCATCAATTGCGTTCATCTTTCACAGTCATTGGGTCGATTGTTGACGCCGGTGGTAGCCCAGAGGAGGCAAACCATATTCTTTGCAGCTTGGACTGCGGGCAATGAGAGGAAGAGGTCAGTAAACTTGGTTCATTAGGTTGGACGGTTGGAAGGAGCCCTTCGTCTTTGGGGGTAGTCTAGGGTCAAGGAGCCCTAAAGTCCCAGTACCGTACCACCGGCGTCTCCCAGTGAGAAGCCAGGCGGCGGGGCTCGTGAGGGGAACCTTTAGCAGAAGCGCTAAGAGCTTCAAGGTTGTCCCTCTGGGCTACTACGGGAAATGCTTTGCTACATCCAGTACGGAGTAGTCTATGATGGCCTAGTCAAATACCTCATATTAGCTGGTTTATATTCTCGACTTGGTTTCTTTTTCCAATTAGTACTTTAGGCTGTAAAGTATATAGTCTTAATGCCTTGATATATGGTGGATCGAGTAGTTTAATTGTGCTCGATGGAGTAGTTGAGATGACTGACGGATTAGTGATAAACGGTCCCTTTCCTTTCTGTTTGTCTGTTCTTCCAACTTCTCGTGCATCGTCGGCGACGAGACCCTGGCCCTGGGCTACTCTGCTGGATGTTAGCACAGTCCTGACTATTTAGCCCTGGCAGTGAGCCCATTGCGATGCTTGACATCTGCAACACGATCAGTGTCATACCGGTGATCATATTTTTCTCCGTAGAGAGCAATTGAGGAAGTGGTATCAAGGGTATATCTAGAATAGTGAGCCGTCCGGATCAGCCTCGATGTCACCATCGTCACAACGAGTTTGGCCCAATGCGCTCTTGTGACGTCCACGTTGTCATCACTGGGTGAACAAATCTTCAAGATTTTGATTGTCGAGCTCAGCATCCCCCAGATTTGCCGGTTGAATTGTCTCTGGAGCTACTGGTAGGCCAGGTTCATAAGACTATTTCAATATTGATGCCCTAGCAACTTGACATATATATGCCAGAAGAGAACCTCGAGCACCAAGTATGAATGTTTAGTCTTAGCAGGCCAAAAATAACCACACATAATTGATCCCTTATATCGTACCTGTTGGCGGCAATCAATGAATGGCGACCTTCTCTACCAATAGAAAGAAGAACGGACAACTATGAGTATGTGTACGGAGTACTGTATGCACTGTGCCGTATTCCCGAAGCTGAGAGGCAAAAGACTCCAACCCCACAAACAGCTGAGTCAGCGCCCCCGGGCGCCGGTAACTTCAAAGCTTGGCGCAGACTTACTTACTATGTGGTAAACAACAGCTGAGTATGTTGATAGATCACATTGTTTTCCATAAAGAATGTGAAGTCGAACATATCTGATGTGTACGGTGAGGAGGCTTAGCATTCATTTTTAGTTTCGATAGTATGGTGTGGCAGACTCATTGAGCACCGCAGGCCACTTGTGGAAGGGGATTGTTGGGGAAGACCGAGGCTGGAAGGGGATTGCGGAGATACAACGGTTATTCGCGCCGTCTCCAACTCGACCAAACTTTCCTATCAGTCCGCCGTCATGCCGAGGGCCGATCACTTGCCTGCCTTAATAATGGGTATCCTGTTCATCTCAATCCCCTTCGGCGTCTTCCCCATCTTTCATCATTGCATTCAGAACAATTTAGATCCCCTCTTACCCCATTACTTCATCACTTCTTCCCTCACTCCCTTATCTCGGTTCTCACTGCAACATTCCTGACACAGTTCTTATTTGCCTTTCCCCGCATTGTCGCCATGCCCGTCTCCTCACTCTACCCGTCGGTGGAAATACCCAACGTCGATATTTGGACGTTTCTCTTCGAGCGCAAAGACCGAGAGTATCCAGATGATAAAGGTATGTTGTGATCGATCTCTCACCAACTAAGTCTTGTCTTGTCTGTTATCTGCCTGCACTCTACTCTTCCCACTTGTACGAGCATTTCATAATCGATAGCACTCTAGTAATCTACGAGGATGCCGATACCAAACGAACCTACACTTACCAGGGCGTCCGAGATACCGCACTGGCCTTCGGACAAGGTCTCAAGGCCATGTTCGATTGGCGCAAGGGAGATGTCCTAGCTCTATTCACCCCTAATAGCATCGACACCCCGGCAGTGACATGGGGAACGCACTGGGCGGGCGGAGTTGTTTCTCCGTCTAACCCAGCTTACACAGCAGAAGAATTGGCCTTCCAGCTGAAGAACTCGGGCGCGAAAGGGTTGGTGACACAATACCATCTGCTTTCGGTTGCAACAATCGCGGCCCAGGAAGCGGGGATCCCCCACGACCGGATCATCCTGATCGGCGACGAGCGCGACCCGCAAGCAAAGTTCAAACACTTCACCTCCATTCGCAACCTGTCCGGCGCGACTCGATACCGGAAAACAAAGATTGACCCCTCCTGCGATCTTGCCTTTCTGGTCTACTCCTCCGGTACCACAGGTGTTCCCAAGGGCGTGATGCTCTCGCATCGCAACATTGTCGCCAACGTTCTGCAGCTTTCATCTGGCGAGGCCGGCAATCTGACATGGAATGGGGTCGACGGCCGGGGTGACCGTGTCCTTGCCTTTTTGCCGTTCTTCCACATCTACGGTGCGCTTCCCTTGTTCCCCCGCGTACAGTAACCCCCCTAAACAAACAAAAACCAAACAGGTCTTACGTGCCTCGTCCACCAAACCCTCTACAAAGGCCTCCACCTCGTGGTCATGCAGAAATTCGACCTCGAGAAATGGTGCGCCCACGTCCAGAACTACCGCATCACATTCAGCTACGTGGTGCCCCCGGTCGTCCTCCTGCTCGGCAAACACCCGATCGTGGACAAATACGACCTCTCCAGCCTGCGGATGATGAACTCGGGCGCCGCCCCATTGACACAGGAACTGGTGGAAGCCGTCTACGCGCGCATCAAGTGCGGGATCAAACAGGGCTACGGCCTGAGCGAGACGAGCCCTACGACCCACACGCAGCCCTGGGAAGAGTGGCGCACCAGCATCGGCGCCGTGGGGAAGCTCCTCCCGAACCTCGAGGCCAAGTACATGACGATGCCGGAGGACGGCTCGGAGCCGCAGGAGGTGCCCGCCGGCGCGGTCGGGGAGCTGTACATGCGCGGGCCCAACGTCTTCCTGGGCTACCACGACAACCCGGCCGCCACGGCAGACTGTCTCTCGGTTGATGGGTGGTTCCGCACCGGCGACGTCGGGTACCAGGATCAGCAGGGGAACTTCTACATCACCGACCGCGTCAAGGAGCTGATCAAGTACAAGGGGTTCCAGGTGGCGCCCGCGGAGTTGGAGGGGATCCTCGTGGATAACGAGGCGGTCGACGATGTCGCCGTCATCGGGATCGAGAGCGAAGCCCATGGCAGCGAGGTGCCCCTCGCGTATGTGGTCCGGAGCGCGAAGAGCCTTGCCTCTAAGGTGTCGGCGGACGAGGAGGCTGCGAATATCATCCAGTGGTTGGATGGCAAAGTCGCCTATCACAAGCGTTTGCGCGGCGGCGTGCGCTTCGTGGAGGAGATTCCGAAGAGTGCAAGCGGGAAAATCCTGCGGCGGTTGTTGAAGAAGCAAGCGAAAGAAGAGGGGATTGGTGCCGGCGCGCCGGCACCCAAAGCGAAGTTGTGAGGTTGTGAGATGCGAGTTTTCATGATGCACGAGCTCATTTAATTTGCTTTTTCTTTTTTGCTGGCGTGTTTGAGAGGTCTTGTGTAAATAGACTCGATTATGGTGTTTATACATCTTTAGATAATTTATGATATGCCAAATATCCAGTTCCGAGTGTAGCCTGTCAATCTGTTGCTCAGTCTCGATGGCTTGATTTGTCCTTAAGTGATGTTATTTGAATTCTTCAGCGTATCATATCCGACATAACCCAAATTTTCAATGAATGGGGCAGAACGAGCCGAAGCATGCTCACAAACCGAATCTCTTCACCATACCCTCCACATCCTCACCTTCGACCGCATCAACCTTCTCCCTCACCACTCGTTCGACAGCCTCTTCCACCCCCTCCTCCCCATTCAGAAGATCATACCAACCGTCCGTGTCGTCCCGGGCCAATAGCAAATCCGCCACGATCGCCACGTCCTCCCTGGTGACGTTATCCACGCCCTTCTTCGTCTTGCCGAGATCGACCTTGCGGGTCGCGGGGGTATCAGTCAACGTGCCCGGCCGCAGGTTGATCGCCTGCAGGGGTTGCGCGGCGCCGGCCGCCACGAGCTTCTTGCGTTGTGCGGCCAGCGCGGTCATGTACTCGTCGGCTTCGAGCTTGGCCTTGGCGTATGCGGGGAGGACGTTGTGAAAGACGTTCTGGAGGCCGGCCCAGTCGTCGTTGGAGAGCCAGCTGGGCGGGTTGCGTCGGCTGCCGATCCAGGACACCAGGAGAAATTTGGTCACTCGGGGGCGGGCGAAGGAGGCCATCAGGAAATGTTTCGCGGCGACTTCATCGATCGCCTGCGTGCGGGCGGGACCACCTTTGCCGCCGGCGCCTTTGGGTTTTCCCAAGGGCAAAAAGGAGTTAGTGTATGGCTGCTATCAGATGGAACTGGGGAGTCGTCTGTGAGAGAGTTTGAGGGTGTGAAAGCAAAGACCTGCATGGTTGGATGGGGCTGCTGTTTCGTTGTGTAATTCTTTGATTGTCCGATTCCAAACACGAGGGCGTACCTGCAGACCAAACTACGTAGTCCGGATCAACGGCGTCAAGGACTTTCTTGGCATCTCCTTCACTCTCCACATCATCCAAGCTGGAGAGAAGCACGTTGAGTTTGCCCTTGGCGCCTTTGCCCAGCGCGAGAATTTCACTTTCGTGCTCTGGATTACGAATGACGCTGGTGACGTTCCAGGAGCGGGCGAGGAGGAGCGGGGTCAAAAGGAGGGCTACTTTGCCGTGACCACCGAGGAGTAGGACTTGCATGATGACAATGCTTGTTATTGAAGATTGTAGTGTTTGTCTAATGCTGAGTACTGTAACCAGTAAAATGCGAAAGCGTGTGGGTTGCTGTCTTCATGATGTGCGGCGCGAGCAGTAACTTAGGCTGTTGGAGCTGATGCCCATAAGATTAGTAATTCATGGAGGGGAAGTCGAGGATTGCGTCATGGTCAAGTTGGCTGTGATCAGCTAAGCTACCCTTGACTTGTTGAAAAGCATTGACAGTGCAATCAATGCATTCAGCAATCAGTCAGTCAGTAAGTCGTCAAGCAACACAATGTCTCAGGCACTGCAAGGAGCCGCGTTCTCTTATCGCGCATCTCCATGGCAGCATCACCCTGCAGTCCCCCTTGATGAACCTTAGGGACCAGCTGGGATCAGCCAGAACTCAAATTTTCCACGTGGCTTTGGCTTTCCTCAGTCGCAGTTACCACTTGTTTGTGTCAACTCAATAACTAGCTATTCCAGAGAAATTCGTGCTCATTGGGAGGGCGTCTTGGAAGCTTAGACCAGAGAATTGAAGGCGTAGGCGAGATGAAGAGAGTGAAAAGACTCGTGTTTGGGTCCCATCGCGAATCTGAAACACCGGCCGAATGGTCGAAAAGAGGACCTCGCCCCGCGCAAAGCTTCAGGGCCGGAGAACCATGGAGCGCACACGCTCGACTCCGAAATCTCAACCGTGTGGATTTAATGGAGCCTTATTACCGAGAGGATGGGGATGTGGATAAAGCGGGATCGATGTCGATAATGGGAAGAAGGTTATTGGGACTCAAAAGGTGTGTGTACAGTGCGTACTGTGCGCTCTACTCGGCAGTCGTGGATGCATGCGGGCTTGCGTTAGTCCGACGCATTTCTTTCCCCTCATGGCTCTCGGAGATTGGATTAATTAATCGCAGATACAGCGGGACTGATCTGGAGCCTCAAGCTGGCCATTCGAATCTTGGATAAAGTGAAGGAGAACCTTGATCAACACGACCTCTACGAGCATGACTTCATGATGATGATGATGATGATGATGATGATGCACAAAACTCGAGCAGGGTTGTGGAAGACGACGGGCCACAGCGGAGTTGAATTGGAAACCGCAACCACTGGGGGTCAATTGGTACCTGTCTGTGCCTGGCTGTGCCTGTCTGTGCCTGTCTCTCTCCCGTCCTTGCCCAGGATTAATCTAAAGTGGGCGGAGAACAGCCCGGTAAGACTACTGTGTGTGTTCCCGTCCCTGGTCTGCTCGTCCAATTTGTTACTGTGCTTTGTATTGCGACTAACTACGGAGTACTCAGTAATTAACTAAATGTTGACTATTACCATTATTAAGCATGCTAAGACTCACTAAACTAAGAATTTGTCCAGACCGCACTCCTCAATTCCACCTCTTCAGGCCTAGTCAGGGGTATCCACCACAATTGTACGGTACGGTACAAACCAGACCTGTTTCCAAGGGACTTCTCCGTCGGGCAGACTTGGGTCCCGGCTATTCAACGGCTGTCATTTTTTCTCTTTCTCACTGTGGTCACTACGTACTCTGTACTGACTCGACGACAATCTAATTTACCCAACGGATAGTTAGTGGGTGTCTAGCCGATCACCTAGCGAAATAAACATTTTTCTCTTACATATCCTTCAAGATGGTGGTTACAGACGAAAGTGCGCCCTGCCTCCACCCGAGAGCCATGTGGAAGTAATAAGTTCATGGCCATCACGGACTTGCATGACGTATCGGATCTCCATCGCCATTAGGACTTCGATCTTCCTGCGGAACTGATACTGAATATATCGAACTGACTTGCATCCAACATATACTTGAGTCGGTCCCAAAGGAAGCGTGCGGTGCTCGGTGAACCAACGGATGGATCTTGTCTAAAGACACTAACTCCCCAACAAGGATGGTTCTGGAATTTCGAGACTCGAGAGCGACTAGTGACTCCATGTTGGGGATTTTCTCAAGGAGTGGTAAACCTACAGGATCTTATGCATGTCGCATCTGCACTCCGGATTCGACGCGAGGTCGCTTTCAATACCTGCAATCCTGTGTGCCTCCTAGCCAAACTCAGGGGTATCTCAGCGGCCGAGCACACTTCGTACTCCGTACGCTGTGATAACATCTTCAGCAGCTGCACACAATGAATGTTCTGACGTCCGGTATCTGCGGGACGACCGCAGCCTCCGTCATACTGTCCGACTCAATTGAGATTGTGTACCTCCCTCGCGAGTCTCCCTAAATTATCAAGATCAAAATAGATTAGTCGATGACATCAACTGAGCGGTCGTTGTAGCGCGATGTATGCTGGCAAGACCGCACAGTATCTATTAGATTCTACAACGTCCGCGACAAAGGTCCAGGTGATCGTCCCGCTCGTCCAAATTTCCGGAACCGCGCCCAATGTGCCCTGAGCTAAAAGTACCGGCCTAAAAGCCATGAAACGGATACCCAGGAGACAGATCACATTAACCGAACAACGGTGGAGGGATTTCAGTTCAGTCGGCGGCTTCAGGATGATATATAGTTTAGGGAAAACGCCTCATCAGGGTGAAAAAGGAGACTCTCGGGAGCATCTCCCGCTTGACTGGGTGGGCGGCCATTGCCGATGATTTGTGCGGAAGGCGTTTTGGGGGCAGTGGGAATAGAGACCTTTGTCGTCCTCTCCAGTGTCCCACTGGAAATGCAGTTGACGATGGAGGTTCTGGTTTGGGGTTTTCAGCCTTCACTTCAGCCTTCAGCCCCAGATTGGCCCACATCCCGCCAGACGCGGTCGTGTAAATTCACACAAAATGTCCTCTGTTATTCAGGTGGATGGAGGAGGGAGTGGAGGTCTGGCAGGCATTGCCGTTTCAACTGGAGCACCCATGTTTGACATGCGGGAAAGAACAATAAAATGCACGAGATATGATATACAGGTCGGCTTCGAGTGGTGACTGGCAAGTCAACAACCACATCGACAAACACATACTTCGTTCCGGAGAACTTGCTCTGTAGGTCGATTGAGAATGAGCTGGTGGAGGATGGAAAAGACACCCACCCACAAATACTTCAACTTCGAATACAGCCGGCGTAAGGCACGTACGAACGGTAAGGTAGGTACCTACCTTAGGTAGAGTGTACCCGAAATGGGGACATCCGATTTGTGGTTCATTCGGAGTGGAGTCTGCAAGGGGCATTGGGGCTTGATAGTCACTCGACGGTACCGTACGGTAACCCGAGACCACACCCATGGTTTCCGTGACAGTTTATTGACTTTAGAGAGTTGTTATGATCCAGGTATGAAGTCCGAAATATTCCAGACGGGCTGTCACCCCCGGTTACCATTGATATTGAGAGAGGCGGGGATCCCTTCGGAAAAGGCAGAGCAAAGAGAGACAGGAAGGAAACTGGCTTGGAGATACATTACACCGTAGGTAGGAAGAAGGACTTGTGATCCTGAACAATTTTGATTTCTCGACGTTCCCTCTCCATAGTGAAAAACAAAGACAGCATCTCGTGTCGATCCGCAGAAGCGCGTTCCATGGGACCCAATAATTTGATCGTCTCCAGCGCGGCGCTCTGGACTTGTCGGTAATAATAATTAAATGACATTGGAATTGACTGACTGGTCCTTTGACCATGGAATCAATTCTAGTCGGCTAGTGCCAAATTCAACTAAAATCAAAAACCGAAAAAATAAAAAAAGAGAGCAAAGAAAAAAAAGGTAAAAAATTAAAGACTGAGCGCGCGAAAGAGTGACTCGATCGGATCGAATCCAGATCCCTTCTTTTTTTGAGGTAGAAGCAATAGATTGCTCCTCCCTCCCTCTCCCCTCCTCTCTCTCTCTCTCTCTTTCTCGACACATCTGAACAGTCACCACTCATTCATTTTCACTACACACTCCCTTTTCAAACTTCCACACTCTTTTCTTACCTGTTGGTTCGCCTTTATTTGGGATCAATTGAATCCTTCCCTTCTTTCGAAGTCACATTCTATCCCATCCACTCATTACAAACGACGCACTCATTTCTGGGCGCCTCCACCCGCCATCAACCCGGACTTTCAGCATCCCTACCGACTCCGCTCCCGCTTTCCACGGTGCAGCCACATTCCTGCGTCCCATGCAGATGCTCATCGCCTTCCATTCGATCGCCTTCTCAGAATAACTTGTGTACTGGAGATTCCTCCGCCACATTGCTACTCAATTGCTTTTGCGACCGCCTCTCATCCTAGCACCCTGCACATTAACTCCACTATTTGACAACTACTCCGACCTAGTCCTGCGCGCCCGCCTGCCCGCTGCCTATTTTGAGCTTTGACGCTCCCCGGAGCATCTCGACTTCTAGGGAATGAAGAACAATCCGCAAATACATCCAAGAACCCACTAGCTCACTCGCTCCGCTGAGCTCTTCGTGTTTTGAGTGACGCTCGATCGGCCTTTCGGCTTCGCCACAGTCGCTAGTAGGTTACTCGCCCTATAGAACCACGCACAGGGATACCCCATATTGTCCGCTACCCATATGTGTCTGACGCATGGATTCGCTCAGTCTCCCATCTCAGCGTAACCCTCGAACTGCTCCGGTCTCTGACGCGATAAAACCACATCCCTGAGATTCGCCGGCGTCGCGCGCATTTCCCCCCGCACAGTCCGCCATGAATCGTTTCCGCAAGAATAAAAAGGACAAGGTGAAGGAGGAGGTGATAGAAGTTCCTGAGAGTAGCTCAGTAGGACTCAGCTCCAAGCTGTCATGGAAATCTAAGAAGGAGGAGCCCGAGGAGAAATCGGATTTCGATCTTTCCTCAGCCTTACCGTCGACCGACGACTTCCGCACCAGTCTTTTGATGCCAAAATTGTCTGCACGGTTCAGCATGCTAAGAGAGCAGGATGATCCGGATTCCATCATCGGGAAAGCAAGTGACGACAGCGTTTTATTCCCCAAGCGTGCCTCGCGACTGAATCTTTTCGGTCACAATCCCGGCTTCCTGGCTGATATAGATGAGGTCTCAATTGACGGTCGATCGATAGCCCCAGGGCGTGCCCAATCAATAGTGTCCGAGAATATTTCCTGTGGGCTTGATGAGGACTCTTCACAAAACGAAAGTATTATGAGCAGAGGTCGCCGAGTGGAAAGCAATAACTTGTTCGGCGGACGGCAGAAGGTGTACAAGATCTCATCGAAGTCAACATTGGGTGCTTCCGACTCCGGGCGTTCACAGATGAGCAGCCGTGCGCTCTATGAACCTGATTTGACAACGTCTGCCTTCCACTCTCCCAATGCCAAAGAAGGCGTCGAATTGATGGCGGAGGATTTCCCACAAGGAAGTCCTTCCCACGAGATGGAAGACGCACTTTCCAGGGTTTCCTCTGCCAAACGCACCACGCTTTCTTCCACTGCATCCGGTCCTACTGCGAATGCTCGTACTTCAACAGCTGCTACGTCGATAGATGACCAGTCGTTATCGGGAACTTCGCCGCAGACATCAGCCAGCGAGGGTCTGTTCTCTGCACCAAAGTCAACAATGCCAGGGATGGCATCCGAACGTGGCTCAGTCAAGTCGAGGCGTCTATACGGGCAAGGGTTGGCGCAGAGTGCACAGAATCAACAAGCCTCTACCCTCCAGCGTCTAGAGAGCCTGAGTCGTCAGAGAGCAGGAACCCCGGAGCACCCGCCACTTAACCGGGCTTTCTCCAAAAGCGCCACAAATCTCCGTGATAGAATGCAACCCTTGACGATCACCGAACCCCTTCCCAGTAACCCCAGCCCAACCCAGCCCACGAGCCCCGAATCTCTGTTTCCATCGTCAGAGGAGGCGCTGAACATCGCCGCCAAGGGACTCAAAAGCCCTGCAAGCACCGCGTACAGTGTTCCTCCGCTGAGTCCCCCGTTCAGTGAAAGTGAAGAGGGAGGAGCCTTAGTAGCTGCTCTCCGACCGGAGGACCATGGCAAGGCTACGGCTTCAGGCCTGTTCAATAAGCCAAAGACCACTTTTGATGAAAGTCAATTCAAACAACGCCAGCTACAGATGCACCAAGGCAGGAGCACACCGCCTTTGGCTAGGCCCCTCCCACCACCTGCAAGATCCAAACTGCCCGAGCTTCCTGGACGCGCGCGCGGTTTCTCGAATGCAAGCTACACGTCGAGGCCTGGCTCGGCATCTTCGCACTACAGTGAGGCTCAACGCCCCGGGAGCCGGTCTGCCGCGAACGCTTCCCCTCCGAAGCCCACCGGCACCACTTTCTTTACCAACTCGAGTCATAGTGATTCGGAGGATGAAGGCCGCGCGCGCTTGCGTGATACATCGTACACTACAGACGAACTGCACCCTGCACTGCGACCGGAAACGCCTTCCAAGCCTTCTACGCCCGCGAGTGAACACCGAAGCCCTCTGCCTGAAGTGCGGTACTCCGATTTGGGTGATCTGAAGCCAATTGCGGAGCATGATCTTGTCGAGATCAAGTCTAGTAGCGGCCAGGATCTTCCAGAGAAGCCCGACTCCCCTACGCTAGGACCCTCAGGTCTGGGATTGAGTGGCTTGGTTCGCGCACACCTTCGACAGGACAGCGACCGTTCGTCAATTTACCCTCCTCCTTCCCCTGGCCTTCCCGCTAAGCCTGTAGAGGCGAAACCAGTTGCGGATACCACTGGGCAATATCCCAAAAGTGCCCCCCATAGCGCAAATTGGCAGGATGAGCTCGTCTCCAGACACAGACGTGAAGCGAGTACCGAGACACAAATTGAACGCGAAGAGTTCGCCAACGAGCTAGCAGAGAGACGGAGAAAGGTGCAGGAAAAATTGAAGGGCTTTGCGGAGGTGGAGAGCAGATCAGCTAGTCCTGTTTCTGGCCGCCAAACTCCAGATTTTACTCCGAGCAAACCTGGAAACGCATTCTCTTTTCTGAAAAACAAATCAGGGAAGCAACATCTCTTCAGCAAACAGGATCTGAAGGGTGCTAAAGGCCTGGGCTATGCCAACGCCTCTACTCCGGCTCTGGTGTCAGATGACCCTTGGCGTGAGGAGGAAGAGCGGCCGGCCCTGCCTTTCGCGAAGCATGCTAATTCTAGCACCCCCCACATTGCAGGCGAGAGGTCTTTCCGCTCGAAAATGTCCGTCTTCGGTCGCAGCAGTCAAGAAGACTCCCGTGAGTCTAGCCGGAGCCGCGGTGCATCTCCACACTCCAGCTTTAGATCACGCCGAGATCGCTCCACGTCTGACGCATCGGGTCGTTCGAAAAGTCGCTCGCGGCGAGACCGAGATGGCCTAGAGACATTGGAAGAGGTTGGACATGGAAGTCACCACCCAATGGCCTATCCTGATCATGATCAGTATGGCATCCAATCCGTCACTTCCTCTGGCCGCCCCTCAGTCGAGGCTACTGAGCCTGCCATGTATGAGCGCTGCTCGTCCGCTGCTTCCACTAGGCACCGTAGTGGAAGCCGCTCAGCTGTCTCCAGCTTTCACGATCGCCCTTCCTACTTCTCAACAAACAGTTCATCCCTGATTGGTGCCGCTCCTCGTCCTTCCCCCATCGCACCTTATTCCGCCAATGCCACACCACCCTTGGATCTTAATTCTGAGAACGGTTCCCCTTTGGTGCCTGCTATTAGTAACAATCACCAACATCATCACGCTCTCAATCGTGCACCGGGTAACAATGGCCTTACAAAGCGGGCAATCAACAAGACCCTTATCTCTGAGCCTACATTGGTTTCTTGCACATCAAATGTACCGACGGTTGGTCTTCCTCCTGGCGCCAGCCTGAGTAACGGAATGAAGACACCACCAATTCCGCCGATGAATCCACGACGACGTCGTCAGACTACCACACAAACTATCCTAGGAGCACTCAAAGGCGAGAGACATGAGTCTCAGTATACACCATCGATTGACTCGGCTATGGAGGAGACAAGCAATTTCTCCGACGACGGCGAAAAGCGCCCGAAGTCTCGAGCCAGGCTTCGCAAATCCTCCAGCGAGGGAGGCAACTTGAATGCGAAGGCCCGTCACCAGCTGCTAGCTGACACACATCCGCCTGCTGTTCCTACCTACCCACCCCCCCAAATTCCTCTGGATGGAGGAATGTTTTGAACACCTTAAACTCCATGTTGAACACCTGACATAACTTCCATTCCCTGCCCTTCAATACCTTCTCAACCCACTTCCCCGACTACGATGTATTATTGACGTTCTGGCTTAGCCTTCTGCATCTTTATGTTGGATACCTCTCCTTAGCAATTCCGGTTTTGCATCCATCCTGATATACCAACAGCGTTACGTTGAGCGGAGCATTATTACTTTCCTTTCCTGTTTATTACCCATTCATTGACATTACCAATTTCCTATGAGTCATATCTTCAGACAAAGCCCTTCTCTCTTCACATTTACTTAGACGAGATTTGGCCACAATACCAGAATTATTTACACCATAAGTTTCATACATAGCTTTTCAGCTGTCTGTTGATCTTTACAGTATTAGTATCGTAGGTAGTTCATCGTTCTTTGGACAATCCTAAATCTGCATGTTGCATCCAGGCTTGTGGAAGCCTTACTGCACTGGAGATTAGCAAGTCATCAAGCGTAGGAACAAGACTTTCCAGAAGCCTTCTTGTCTACTCAGTGTGAATGCTCCATACTGATCAGGTTGCTGTATTGCTCTTTTGGTTCATGCGTTATCTCATTTTGAGGTCACATGGACGAGAAAACCCTCACATTGTATCAGGCTTAGGATGTTGTCCAGCTGTCTACAGTTAAGGTCTTAAAGTAGAATGTTTAGTGATCCTGTAGAGTGGAATGGAAGATTCAAGACACAGTCACGTGGATGAGGAAACCCTCACATAGTATTAGGGATAGGATGCTCTCCAGCTGTCAATAATCTTGGTCTCAATGCAGGGTTCATGTTCAGTGATGTCAGAAATCGGAATGAAAGACTTGAACAGTTGCTAAGTCTGTAGTCATCGCAGGTAACGTGCAGGAACAGATATCATTCAACGAGCTGTATGTTGGTTTCTTTCGCTCATAACAGCTGCAATGTGAGGTTTCCAGGCTTGACCCGCTTTACTTTGCGCAGCGTTAACAGTGAGAGGAAAGTTTCTCGTTGTCTACTAGCCAGTGAGGTGAACGTTATCCTTTTTTCTTTCGTCCTTCTTGACTGCGCAGTAGTCCTTCGTCTGGTGTTCTTCCACACATGCCTTGTCTCGAAAATCCATCATCACACCTGCCTCCATTCGCTCAAATGAAATTCAAAGTTTAAAAGTTACCTGACTGCCACGAAGGCAGGCTGTCTTCTCAAGCTTATAGCATTGCTTTACATCAATTTTAGATAGCGTCCTATCCAAATCAAATAGTAAGCATTACCACCCCCCGTGTTATCGCTGTTTTTATCTGCTTTGCTCACCAGACCTCAATATACAGACCTATCCTCATCACTCGACATTCTTATCACCTTGCTCGGGAAAACGGTACGTATCGCCCGGCTTGTCCTTTTGCTACTAAGGATCGAAGGATCAAAACTGATTACCATGCTCAGAGTGTGATGTATCCTGCGTTCAACCGGGTCCAATCCTTTTGTTCTTCCGAAGACATTTTTGTGAGTGAGGCCTTTGACAACTTTTTCAACATTTGGCGCCCGAAGAAGACAGCAGCCGAAAAGGAAGCTCAAAGGCAGAGATCGCTCGATCTGCAAGCAGACATTGATCAACACCTTAAGCTTGATTCGTGTCCCCAACGACCCCCCTGTCGTTCGCGTCGGCAGTCTTTGGACCCGACAATGTGCCGGCTCACTGATGCGGTCGTCGCGAGCTCGGAACCGAGCGACAGCAACGACGTGGAGAGGACTGGGGACGCTCAGCCCGCTGCGCCAATGCCTGCTACCCCAACGGCCGAGGTGGCGGCTCAAGCTGAACGGGAGAGCGACGACGATGACGACGCTGATATGAGCGGTCATGGCCAACCTGCTGCATCGTTTGCCGATATCGTCCAAGCCAGAAAGGCGCAGAGGAAGTTGAACAAAAAAGAAAGAAAGAAGAGGCAGGCTAAGAAGCCCGCGAAGAAAAGTTCAGGTGGTCCTCATCACCAGATGGCGGCGGCGGTGGCTGCTGCGGCTGCTGCTGCTGCTGCTGCTCCTTCTCCTCCGCCTCCTCCTCCTCCCCCTTCTTCACCTCCTCCCTCACCTCCTCCTTCACCTCCCTCTACTCTGCCTCTTCTTGTTACTTCTGCTGCTGATGACAGTAACGGCCTGGTAGCGCAGCAGCCAGTCACAGGCGCGGAGACTCAATCCATTCAGATCCAAGTGCCGCTGTCTCCTCCACCTCCATACGCCCCTCTACCTCCCGGCCTTTTCGAAGCAGGTCAATCTCAGCTCGTCCCAACAGCGGTGAATCCGTCCTGTTTTTCCCCAACGCCTTCGGATGTTAGCTCCACAACACTGTCAGCCACAGAGCCCCCGATCGTATCCCTACCTCCGCCCTACGTCAGTTCAGACTCGGCCGAGGCTAGCCAGGCTTTGGACTATGATGACGTGGGTGCATCGCATTCCAGAGACTTGGATTCGCTTACAGCGACTCAAGAGTCGGAAAGCACTCACTCTTTTCAAGAATCGGAGCCACGAAGTTCGTCTTCCACTGACGCAAGTACTATTGTGGTGCCATTGACCGAAGCAAATCCCGATGTGGTGCAAGATCCCGATCCTGACGTCTTGGATTCATGTGTAACAGCTCAAAGCACGGAAAGCACTCAACAACTGCAAGCGCCGAAGCCACAGACCGCGTCACCCACGGATGAAAGTATTCTAGTAACGCAGTTGACCGAGACCAACGTCGAAAGCTTGGTATCATGCTCCACGGAACTTGAAGATCTTCCTGGGATCATTGGGAACCCGAACAATGAACATGACAATTCATCGCCCGAGACTCCCGCTGACTTGGTTGCTGCCGAAGAAGATGCTTGCGTGTCGCCAAGGGAGCAGGAGCAGCAGTCTAATGAGGAAGAGCACTGCACATTTGTTTGCAAAATCTGCGAGCAGGAAGCCAAGAATGCGCAATGTGATCAACATGATCAGAAGATTTGTTCCTTCGAAAATACTTGTTGCGTGCATACGCCAAGATCAACAGGTTGCGCCTGTCCTCCTAGGAAATCATGTTGCTGTTTACATTTCATGTCGCATTGTCAATATGGAATATCAGAGATTGCATCCGAGTCAGTCGCACCGAGTTCTTGCTCACCCAAGAACATCGAAGAGACTATTCAGGACAAAGCCCATACGGCCGAGGGACAAGCCGGTGAGATGTCGAAAATTGCCGGTCAGTTGGCAGGCGGAAGAGGTTATCAGATCGAAGTGCTAACTCAATTGAAGATCCGCCCGAAGAATCAGGAACAACGGATGGCCTTTCAACCTATTTCCTTGGAATCTACCGCGACCAAATATTGTGTGACTTCGGTATTGAACTTTTGAGGAAAGGCGAATCTGACTTTGCCTGTGCCTTGCTGGCACATAGAATTATCATGATGCGAAGCCCGTCACTTGCTGTCATACTGAAATTCCCCGCATACATGGAAGGGTATAACCAAATCATCGCGGTCTTCGGTGAGAAAGTCGGTATGATGCATGGTTTCGAGATGGCTCTCGAATATCTATATGGTGCACCGCTCTTAGACGGACATCTTCTCCACCAGAAAACGATTAAGTTACTGGGATATACGGAGGCGAACCACGGCGAGCTCTCGTTTCCATTTGGCAGCGCCAAGGCCGAGTTGGCATACTCCTATGCCGTGGCTGGAGCATGTCTGCAAATTCCGGACGTCATCAAAGCTGGGATCGAACTGACCATCTCCATGATCAGCTGGGAGACCATCGACGAGATCCTGCAGTACAGTATCCGGCCCGAAGACTACCTCATCACCTTGAAAGCGTTTATCAGCTTCGACCCCGAGGCGCCGTCGCTCGGGACGCCCACGGCCAGCACGCCCGGAGCACAGAATTTCAAGAAACGTTGGGCACCGCAAGTAGTCAGGGCCTGCCTGGAGTATATGGTTGACCACCTGCCACCAAATTTTGAGTTTCACTGCAGCAACCCAAGGCGAAACATGACCACTCCCCCTCCAACGGATTCTGAGTACATATGGCCCCATTATGAGGACTACACAGCCTCCTGGATTCTGGCATCTTTGCCGTACCCGTATCTCCAAGAAGCTTTCGGACTTCTTCGGGACCGCGGCTTGCTGTCGATCAAGCTGGCGCATGCCCTCCTGCTCGAGCGAGAGGTCAACCGCCTCCAGGGGCTCTTACTTTGGCTCAGGAGCGGGCACTCGACGTCACAAGAGGAGATAATTCCCGAAATTGAGGCCTTGGGGTATCAAGAGGCGCTGACTGTCATTTCGAAAGATCCAAGAACAGGCTCGCCAAACGTCGGCGTGGACAGGGTTTGGGTAGGCTTCAACGCTGCTGCGGTGCTAGTTGTGCTCGAGTCCACCGCCTCCCCGAGCAACTGATCCCGGTCCATTGGCCACTCGGCCTGGCTTGCATTTGGCTGCTTTCTAACTTCGGTGGTACTCATTGAGCCTTTGTGTAAGGAGTGATTTTGGCTTGGACTTGATGAGATAGAGGTGGGTGATGGATCTGGTGTATTGGGCTGGAGGAAAGCACAAGAGACCGGGGCAGAGCTGGGTTGGTTAACTGTTTAACACCTTGAAGTCTAGTCTAAGCTGTGAGTATTTCCACTTTCCCATCACTTCATCGGTGTGTGTGCAGGTCGTTCGCCTAAGGCTCGCTTACTGCGACTGTTCACTGTGGGCTGATGGAACGAACACATGTCAACTCTCTTGCTTGGAAAGCCCCTCCTTAGTTTAAATGCATAGAGACCAACTGTTGTACAGAAACATAGAGCGGAGTCGAATCAAAACTGTCATTTCAATCATACAAGAAGTCTTATATATCAGAGTCATATACAACTAGTCACTTTCGGTTCTTTCTTTTAAACCGATCAACCAACCAAACAATTGGCTTCTATATCTCTCTATAAGCCCTTCTACCACCGTTGAGGTACTACAATGTTGTTGGACGTGCCTATCTTATCGTGGTACTTAATTGGCGACCTTATCAGGAAACCCAAAGTCCAGACCGAAGGGCGGGAAAACGTAACGCTTGAAGGACTTCGTCCGAGCCAGCTCGTCCGTGTACTTGGCGATGGTGGCCAGATCCGACTCATCGAGCTCGACCAGCTGGCGGTTGGCCTCGATGCGGGAAGGAGTCACCGACTTGGCGAGAACCGAAGAGCCACGCGCGACTAAATAGCATGAGGTTCGGTGATTAGCTTATCGGCTCCTGTAAACGTAAATGGGAGAGGGGTAAAGGAGCAAGGGCTGAAGCAAGAGAGACACGGGTGCAAAAACATACTGTGCCAGCTCAGCAGAACGGTCGCGGGGGCGACGTCCTTCTTTTTGGCGACCTCGACGATGGGATCGGCGGAGAACAGGGGGCTGCCCGTGCTGCCGAGCGGGCTGTACGCGGTGACGTGGATGCCCTTCTCCCTGCAGAAGTCGACGACCTCCTGCTGCGGCAGGGCCGGGTGGTTCTCGATCTGGTTCACGGCGGGGACGACGGTGGCCTGGGCCAGGAGCTCCTGCAGATAGGGAACGCTATAGTTGCAGACGCCGATGGCCTTGGTCTTGCCGGCGCCGACCAGCTTCTCCATGCTCTTCCACGTCTCGACGTGCGGGTGGTCGTAGTGCAGGTCCCGCGAGCCGTCCGGGAGCTTGGGCACGACCGGGTGGTTTCCGTTGGGGTTCATGGCCACCGGCCAGTGCACCAGGTACAGGTCAATGTAGTCCAGCCCCATGGTCTGCAGGCTCTGGTCCAGCGCCTCCCCCACCCGGTAGTGCCACGTCGACCACAGCTTGGTCGTCACGAACAGCTCCTCGCGTTTCACTTCCCCCGCCGCGATCGCGTCGTTGATCGCCTTGCCCACTTCGTGCTCGTTCTGGTACGCAAACGCCGTGTCGATGTGGCGGTACCCCACCTGGATGGCGTGCCGGACGGCCTTCTCGACCTCGCCGGGCGCGGATTGCCAGGTTCCTGGGAGGCTCACAGATTAGTGGGTCTGGTTACAAGAGTCAAAGGTACACAGGCTGCATACCGAGACCGAGAGCTGGGATGTCCGCTCCGGTGTTGAGCTTGAAGCGCGTATCGGCGAGACCCATTGTGGATTGCGAGGAGTTCTTTTTGGTTATGGTGTTGGGCTTGAGGCGCGAACTGCGGGACACGGACAGGATGCGAATTGCGAGGGATTTAGATGAATAGAAACAGGAGGAATACAAGAATGAAGAAGAAGAGAACATGTGGCAGGACGAGAGGGAAAATAGTACTTAGCTAATAGAAGAGGAGAAGGGAGGGGCAGAAGGAAGATACCCCGCACTAGTACTTCAGTATCGGAGCAATCCCCGGCATTTCCCCCACCACTTATTCCATCCCCTCGGGCGTCTTTGTGCCGACAGTTCTTACTGAGAATCTTACATAACAAGAAGGGTTGGGACAGCTTTCAATAGCTTCACAGATGACAATGCGGAGTTTGTTTCTCCAATCTATCAACCGCGGTCCCTGCACTACAATGCACTTGGCAGGCACATCTCAATCCAACATCTACATCCCAGACACGAGCGGGGAAAACAACCAGCCTCATCTGCCCATATGCATCAGGGCTATTGCCATCATACAGCAGGTCAGAGGTGCAGATACTGGTAATCACAATGATCGTATCTTGCAGCAAGGGTGGACCTAATCGAGGTCGGGCCCCCTGACAAATGAAGAAATTCTCTCTGGTTGAACAACGGCCCGCATGCAAACCCGCCATCGGAAACCAGAATCCAGAGGCATTGTTCCCACCCACGGCCCAGACAGCCTCCAGGGCTGCACCTGAGTGTGGCTGACGCTCGGGTTGGCTGATCTGGTCCATCTGCGAGCCCCTTTGTTCCACCATGGCGGGGAATGTTACCCCAGGGCAAATCCTCCCACAGTAGTCAGTGGCTTCGGAACCCAGAATCCGACCTCCTGGCGTGGGGTGGTCACGCTGGTGGGAAAATCGCACTGTGCTTTTCTAGAATCACGCAACGTCATGCGCTGCAGTAGACCAACCAAAGGGCGATACTCGGTTTTTGGCATTTTTGATGGCAACTCCTTCTGGGGTAGTCTAATCTACGTTCGCCGAGAAGAATGGAAATATCATATTTATGTCCGTGTAGCCTCGCTTTCATTCATTATCCTCCCAACAACAACAACCCTTGTGTGATACCCTCACACCTCGAAGACCAGGATAAAGTGATCTTCAGGCTCCAAAAATTTTTCTCGTCCTTGCATCGTACGCATAATCAACATGGCACCCGTCGCAGTCGCCCAAGAAACCCCCGTGTTCAACACCAAACGTGACGGGCAGGCCCTTGAAGACCTGTCGGACGCCATCGACACAGTCAATGTTCTCAAGACCAACCTGAAGGAGGAGAAGGAGAAGGGCCTCTATGAGGAGTCTGAGTTCGACAAGGAGAAGGACAAGACCAAGTTCCGTCAGTACGAGGATGCCTGTGACCGGGTCAAGAACTTCTACAAGGAGCAGCACACCAAGCAAACGGTGGCATACAACCTCAAGGCGCGCAATGCATTCCACGCGAAGATCCGTGCGGAGATGAGCGTGTGGGAGGCGATGGAGAAGTTGAACACTTTGATCGACGAGTCCGATCCGGACACCAGCCTTTCCCAGATCGAGCATCTCCTGCAGTCAGCTGAGGCGATCCGTCGCGACGGCAAGCCCCGCTGGATGCAGCTGACCGGTCTCATCCACGACCTGGGCAAGTTGCTGTACTTCTTCGACGCCCAGGGCCAGTGGGACGTCGTCGGCGACACCTTCCCCGTCGGCTGCGCTTTTGACGATCGCATCATCTACGGCCGCGACTCGTTCAAGGAGAACCCCGACTTTGGCCACGAGATCTACGACACCAAGTACGGCATCTACAGCCCCGGCTGCGGTCTGGACAATGTGATGATCTCCTGGGGACACGACGAGTACCTCTACCACGTCGTCAAGGAGCAGTCCACCCTGCCCGCCGAGGCCCTGGCCATGATCCGCTACCACTCCTTCTACCCCTGGCACAACGCTGGCGCTTACCAGGAGTTGATGAACGAGAAGGACAAGGAGATGTTCAAGGCCGTGAAAGCCTTCAACCCTTACGACCTGTACAGCAAGAGCGATGGCATTCCCAGCGCCGAGGAGCTCAAGGTGCGTTAGCCAGTCTTGTGATTTCCCCAGAGAATGCAGCTAACCGATAGTCCGCAGCCTTACTACCTCGAGTTGATCGACGAGTACTTCCCCAACAGGGTCATCAAGTGGTAGAGGATACCCTGGATGGATGAAAAAAAATTGTATTCCGTCCAGTCTACAACCTGAGCCTTGTAGGATTGTCTGACTTGGTTGTTTGTTTCCAGCATCTTTGTTTCACTTCTTTTCTTTTGGTTTCCATGGTATGAACTCAAGCGATGATTCACGAACACACTATACAATGTTATTTTCCAAATGAACCGATGGCCAAAGAGATTTTGGACCACGTTTTACCCTTCACCATCTACTGTCCAGTGCAATGATCCTGTAGAACCTAAGCCTGAAGCCGTACTTCACTATGGCTACCATCCCTGTCGGCGATCACCCTATAGGCTTCTTCATCTCAATGAATCAATTGATTTTACTCGGCCACTTCCAACATGTATGTTACTAACCATAAGTTACCCCTCATCGAGATCGACCGCGATCAAAGTCAATCTTCAGCCACGACGAACGCTCAGACCAAGTTAGCCCATTGCGATCAAAAAGAAAAAAAAAAGCTCAATTGACTTTTGCAGTTTCAGTGGGAGAAATCTGCCTCTTGCGGGGATTGTTTCAGTGCCAAGACATTGAAGGCGCTTCGGGAACGAATTCCCGAGTCGGGGGAGTGGGGGCGTGGGGATGCGGGCATTGATACCCTTCGTGGAGTGATCAGATCAGATCACCAGCAATGATGATTGTATACACCATTTCTGTGGTTGGGAGGAGCTTTCTCGCTATGCATTGCGAGTACAGTGGTGGATCATGTGATTGTTTTTGTTGTTTTACATTGATTGTTTATTTCTGGTTGCGAATCACGAGTTTACGGTACAGTGGAGGTCACTTTCATAAGTGTAGCATTGGTTGTAGCAGTACAGCTATTACTTTGCAATTGCGTAGGATGTAAAGTCGGAATAACTGGCAGTCATATGATCTTGATTGAGTGCGTGTTGGTTTCTGTCTCTAGCTAAGGAGCACAAAGGTTCCTTGTCTATTGATAGTATGTTATTTGAGTCCACTTTTCCACCTTTAGCCTTCCCCATTTTTTTTTCGATTCTATCCTCTCCGTTCGGTACACAGCTTCCCCGCATACTCATGGGGATACGAGTAGCTTGTCACATGTTCTCAAGCTTCGAAGAGAATCAAATGAAGTTGTAGACGTATAAGTTCGCCCAGGGGGATATTCCCCGCCGTACTCTAAACATACCCCGGAAAGGGTAGTATTCCCCGCCCCCGTACTTCACCGTGGTTGTTTGGATGCTGTTTGAGCTCAACAAACTCTCCTGATGCTTTCCATCCCCCATATCTCCCTTGTCTTTTCAATTGGAATAGATTCGAAGCTGCAGGTTCCAGTCACTGCTTCTCTTTATCCTGCCAGTGCTGCAGGATCATAGCAGCAATTCTCCTACAGGAACCTCGTTTCCGAAGGGGCTCCGGGGCAGGGATCCCGACGGCCAGATTCCGTGGTACCTACTGTACAGTAGGTACATACAGCACTCTCCCCTGGTCTGGTCACCCCCGGGATTTCCACTCCGCTCTAAACCGTCCCTGTCCGACAGCCACTGGCAACTTCAATGGAATGGACCAAACCTACGAATATCCAGCCAGTCAGAAGGATTGTCAGACTAGTCTCCTTGGCTGACCAGCAGCAGCTCCAGCAGCTACGCAGCTTTCTCCGCATCTTCCCCTCAAGGAAAACAAAAAAGAAAGAACCCAGACCGACACTTGCCCCAACTGCCCCCAGCTGCGTGTCGGGGGTTAAATTCCTGCTGCTTCGCTGTTCATGATCTCTTCCTCTTCCTGTCTTTCGTTCTCTCCTCACCAATTCCCCAGCTACCTTCACGGATCCCTCCTTCTCCCGCTCGCCGCTCCTCAATCCTCCCACCAATACAAACATCCATCACAATGTCTGCCAGAAAGTTAAAGGTTGGCTGTGCCGGTCTCGGTCGCATGGGCAAGCGTCATGCCCTCAACTTCTTACAGCGCACTCCCCGCGCCGAGCTCGTCGCCGTCAGTACTCCCGACGACAGCGAGTTGGAATGGGGCAAGGTCCACCTGGCCCCGTACGGCGTGAAGCTGTACAAAAACTATGATGACATGCTGAAGCACGAGGGCTTGGAGGCCGTGATTGTTGCCTCCGCTACCGCCGTGCACGCCGAGCAGGCCATCAAGGCCGTTGAGGCTGACAAGAACGTTCTGTGCGAAAAGCCTCTGTCTACCAGTGTTGAAATTGTATGTGGCCGCTAACGTCCCGCTCCTTGCGCCTTCCCTTCTTCTCTTTTCTCCGCCCCCAGCAACCGAATTGAAGAGAGAAAAATTTTGGCAACTGAAACTAACATGGCTAAATTGACACATAGTCCCAATCCGTCCTCGACGCCGCAGCCAAGAAACCCCATCTCAAGGTCATGTGCGGGTTTTCGCGGCGATTCGACGCCTCCTACCGGGACGCACACAGCAAGATGTCCGCGGGGGCGATCGGCACGGCCTCAGTGATGCGCAGCCAGACGTGCGATAAGTTGGACCCAACGGGGTTCTTCGTCGCCTACGCTGAGTTCTCCGGCGGTATCTTTGTGGACTGCTCAATCCACGACATCGACCTGGCGCTGTGGTTCTTCGGCCAGGACAGTAAGGTGAAATCCGTCTCCGCTGTGGGCATTACGGCGGTGGAGCCGGACCTCCGCAAGCATAACGACCGCGACAACGCTGTCGGCCTGGTCGAGTTCTACGACGGCCGCATCGCCTACTTCTACGCCTCGCGCATGATGGCCGCCGGCCAGGAGGACTCCACCGAGATCATCGGCACCAAGGGCAAGCTGGCCGTCAACACCCAGCCCGCCATCAACCTGGTCAACGTCTTCGACGAGAACGGCGTCCGCCGCGAGCTGCCCCAGCACTACTACGACCGCTTCGAGTACGCCTTCGTCACCGAGGCCAACGAGTTCACCGCCTCCTGTCTTGAGAACACCCCCGTGCCCCTGAAGCTGGAGGGCGCCGTCCAGGCGGTGCGCATCGGGGCCGCCCTCCAGGAGAGTCTGATCACCGGCGAGAAGATCAACTTCGATGAACAGGAGAACCGGATCCCCAAGGCGAGATTGTGAGTGTGGGTAGGAGAGGATAGTCACAATAGACATTGAATAGACCTTTTGGCTTTTACTAAATTTTTCTTTCTGGAATGACTTGCGAGTGTGATGTTTTAGCCTGAATGACAATTGAAAAAAGATGATCCACGACTACTGTCTTGTCCCGTCATACAGGTTATAGAATCTATAGTTACGTCAGCAACAAGCAACAAAGGAAGCTGGCGTGTACTGTACGTTTTTACGATTTGGTCGACTCTATCCACTCCACCTCTTGACATCTCAGGGGTTCGCTTAGAAAAGTCATCAAAGACACCCTGTGTGACTTTAGGGATATCTCTCTGGGTCCTTCAGGGGTTTAGCATACTCATGAGGGCATTCGAGGTGATTTCCTGGATGTTTTATATCAACAAGTCTTATGAGTGGTCGTATCTTAGCGCCCTTGTTTTTTTATAGCCGAAGGTAAGTTGTCACTATATGGCCTTCTCCTAGGTAAATCCCTTTATCATCTCTTAGTAGAGCGCTTATGTGTCTGGATTACAGATAAATTCGACACCGTAAACTTTCAACTCTAATTGCTCCATCTTATAGCGTGTATGTGAGGTGGCCTCGAGCGAACAATTCTGCTCTTCCTAATCCTGCCCTGAAGTCACCATTACTGGGTGATGAATCTATAATAACACAGCAATTGATATCTCAACAACTTCCGATGTGGTGTAACGGCTAACATCGCCGTCTTTCACACGGCAGCTCGGGGTTCGATTCCCCGCATCGGAGAGATTAATCTTTTTTCCTTTTGCGCGGAGCGGAGTTTCTGGTCGCGATGGTCGTTATTTTGCTCGCGCGACCCGAGAAGAACAGCTTAGTCAGGGTGAAGAAGTCGCGTCACCTCAAAATACAGGTGTCTACAGGTCACCTGAACTTTTCCAAAGGTTCATGTGAACCAACCCCACTTAGCGTCGAAAAGTAAGCAAGAACGTGCCATGTGAACTTATATATTACTGTTTTCTTACTTTTGAAATTCATTTTCCGCTGAAATCCTACTACACCCAATTTATCAAGTACTTTGAAAGCACTTTTCAAGTACTATAACTACTATGGATTCTAATGACATTATTAGTATCAGTTCTGCAGAAGAGCTCGATACTTCAGAAGTAAATTTATAAGTATAATTGAAGTACTTTATAAGTGCTTAGAAAGTGGTTATAGTGCTGCCATGGTTGTGTAAGATAGGGAGAAAGATGATTGGTGGTGATGACGGCGGTGAGGTGTAAGAGTAATGAAAAAGTTAGCGTGGCACGAAATCTATGTTTTGTATGGGTAACTAGCTCGCTTGGCAGTCGCGCGACCAGACTGCTTAGTAAGCCATCTTCGTGCCACGCGACCGAAAAAACGAGGTCAGCTCATCTGTAGTCTGAAAATACAGTTCATGTGGAACGTCGGCAGGATCGTACATAATGCTAAGGCTCTAACGTCCAAGAATAATTATGTGTATTCCCTGATTATTCTAATAGTCCTAAGAATTCTAGGAATCCTAATGTAAGTAGTAGCTAGATAGTCCCTGATCTATGTAAGTACTCGATCTCAAGATGATGTGGAATGAAAAGCCCTTACAGATACAGTATCAAGGTGGTGTGGCAATCACATTATAGATTTAGTGGTTTTCGTTCCGCGCGACCCTAAAAAGCAACATAGCTGACCTACAACATAAATTTTCAAATCATACCACCTCTTTCCTCTTTCTTACACATACATCCATCCCGCCCACCACCACCACCCTCACTCTCAACATCGCCGAATTACGTGCAAAATGTATATATTAGTGCTTAAAGTTATCATAAGTGGTTATTAATAAGTAGTTGCTAGTTACTTGAATACCTCTACTTCTTGTATATCGAATTCTCTATCCGGATTCACCTATAAAATTCGTACAAAATCTATAATAAGTTAAGTACTTGATTAGACTTGCTCAGAAACTACTTACAACTATACTGTAAAGTATAGAGTAGAAGCAAAGTTGAAATTCAGCGGAAAGATACAGTAATGAAAGATCATACGATTTGTTCTTCATGACTGACGTCAATACAGTCACGTGCAAGGGGGAAAGGTTCACGCGACCGTTCCCGAAGGGTCACGCGACCTGTGTTGGGTGCGTGCACAGAGTAACTACATACTGCTTTTTAAGATGTCGTGGCCCAAAAACCACTCACCGCCTAAGAATATTATCGAATACCAAATCTGTAAGCACTTTTCATTCCACATCACCTTATACATAAATTACAGATTTATAAGTACTTATTAACTATTTCCACAAGGGTAACTAGGGTCATTCGGATTATTCGGACTCTGAGAATCTATTACATTAGGATCTTTAGAAGTAAACACCCTCTATTATTCTTCTACATTAGGGTTGATTATGGGCATATAATACTGGTAACCGAAAAACAAAAACAGAAAAACTTGAGTTGGAATGTAAATTTGCTTCTTGATAGCATTGGCATCACGTGCACGGCGAATGTTCCACATGAACCTTGAAAAGAGATCAGATGCCCTGTGTTCACCTGGGTTGGTGTGGTTGCAGATCAGCTGTGCTGCTTTTTCGGGTCGCGTGGAACGAAAACTGCTTAATAAGCAGTCTGATCATGTGACTTCCAAGCGACCCTGTTACCCACACAAACAGAAAATTTCATTCCACATCACCTTTTTCAGTACACTTACACACCACACCTCCCACCACCAATCATTTCCCTCTTCTTCCCCACATCCGCAACCATGGCTCAACTGAGCGAAAATGTAAGTATAACTGCTTATTAAGGTCTTATTTATTGCTTATTATCATTTGTATGATAAAAAAGTGATTCCAAAGTGATTTTTTGATGAAAAACTGATAAATTTCGAATGAAATAGTCCTGGTACGTGTGGTACTTGCGTGAAGTCGAAGCCGGGCACCTCAAGTTGCCTGAGTTTGATACCGTGAGTTTCTAACTACTTTCTAACTACTTGACAAGTGCATGCTAACTGCTTAGAATGCGGGTGGTGAGGTTCAGATTCATTACGGTGAGGTCTACTGTCGCGTGGATGAATGCGGCAAGCGCAAGGTAAGTACTTTCCAACTGCTTATACAGTACTATACTAACTACTTTTCAACTAC